CCACCCCCAACAACTAACCAGTCCGCAGAGAAACATCATTAACCCACGACTTCATCCCCCGCTTCACATCCAGCGCCCTGGAACGCTTCTCCGCCTACCTTCCCGAATCCTTCAACCTGACCGCGCTAGACATCTACGCCATGATGACCCTGTGCCCCTTCGAGACCAGCGCCTTAGGCGCCCCCTCACCCTTCTGCGCCCTCTTCACCGACCAAGAATGGAAGGACTACGACTACGCCTCGGACCTGCACTTCTACGGCGACTACGGGTTCGGCTCCCCGTCCGGTCGCGCCCAGGGGATCGGCTACGTGGTGGAACTCGCCACGCGGATCGCCGGGGAGCATCTCCACAAAGGCGACGTAGGCATCAACTACACCTACGACAACAACGAAGCCACCTTCCCCACCCAGCAGGCGGTGTACATGGACATGGCGCACGACGACACGATCATCTCGGTGCTCACGGCGCTGGGCCTGGCGCAGTTCAAGGAGGGCCCCGCCGGTCTATCGGGCAAGGTCGACCATGCCCCCGAGCATCGATTCCGGACCAAGGATATCACCCCGTTCGGCGCGCGTCTTGTGGCCGAGATCTGGAGTTGCAGCAGCAACAACAGCAACACGGCGGACTTCACGGCCCTGCAGCCGGTCCTCTACCGGAACCCCGGGGTCGAGGAGGTGGCCGGGGGCACGGACTATATCCGGTTTGTGTTGAATGGGGGTCCGGTGGCGCTGGAGGGGCTCAGTGGGTGTGAGGATGCGGTGAATGGGTTCTGTCCGTTGGAGGGGTTTCTGGGCGGCATTGCGGAGCTGAAGGAGCAGGCGCAGTATGACTATGCGTGTGGGGCGGGGTATACGGCGGAGGGGCAGGTCGCTGATGGGGTTCCGGTGTAGAGTAAGAGCTTCTCTGGTTGGGATGCGAATCGTGGGTCAATCATATAGTTTCCATAGATTCTATGAAGGAAGTTGCGAAGAATTGGCATATAAGATTTCGGCCCTCTCCGCTCGGATGATAGCACCACCGCTGCAACGGAGAGATTTACACCAAGCATTTACCCAACCCTGCAAGCTATTCCTGTCATCTTGAAAACCTCGGCCAATCCCTCTACGTCCGCTCAAGTAAATAATAAAGACCGTTTACCGGCCACGGGCTGGCACCGAAGAAACGGCGGATCGACGAGGATGGTCATATTGTGCCGCAGGAGAGCACAGAACCTGCCACCAGATCAGCGCCTACCACACACTCGACGACGTTGAGTCAGTAATCGGGGCCACAAGCAGTACATACGTGGGATTCCGCAAACTCGGAAGACGCGAGTAGATCACCCGGTCGATGCCCTGATCTACCGTCCCGTCGTAGATCGTCCCATCCGGCAAGATGGGAAACTCAAAGGTGTCGTTCTTGCTGGCGCAGTAGCCGGTGAAGGTCAGGTTGGTCGGCGAGAGGCCCTTTCCGAATTGATGAGCGTAGCGTTCTGCCTTGACAGTTAGGGGAAGGCCCTTCTGGAAGATTGGGGAGGGGCTTTACCGGAGGGGGGCCCTGTTGGTGGGATCTGATGGGCACCCGTGTGCGTGACGGCGTCTCGCAATACGGCTTCAATGGCCGTGTTGTTGTATATATGTGCTGGTTTCGATAAGAGGTGGGCACTTGCGATGCGTTGTGTCTACCGTTTGTACGTACCTGGGAATGACAAGTTGCCTTTTCCTACGGCTGGACAGATGAGTTGCGGTGGTACATCGGAGGCATTGAAGAGGCCCATTCTGTGCGTCACATTCGGTGACCAAGTGGAAGTTGGTCGGCCCCAGGAGGTCTGGAGCCATGCAAAGACCACGAGGAATGCAATTGGCAGGGTGTTCATAGTGCGCATCTTCTAATAGTCGAGAGAGAGGAGGTGACAAGCGGAGCCTCCCGCGTTACAAACACTGGTATCAAAGATATATAAAGTCCCACGCCCAGCTGGTGTTAAGCGTGACTACGTTGACGTCTGATCCATACTGGTAGTTACTAATCCGAGCTGGGGATCATAGCTATGCTGCTTCGTTCTGCCGACAAGGTGAAAACCCGACATAACGAGCGATGACACTGTCACGGTACGTGTGTTCATGGGCGGGGTGCAATACGGCCCAGTAAGGGAGTTTTCTTGGTCAATGCGTAAGGAAAGACTTCGAAGTGGAGACTGGAAGATGGGCAAACCCCCTTGCAGCAGTATTAAATTGCCACGGGATGCCAATGTAGAAAGGGGGTAGCTTGAACAAGGATGATTACAATGTCTCTGTGGTTCAGGTAGCTTAGTAAATATATAGATTAAAATTCCGCCATTGCTCTTGCCGCCCTTGTTACCCATGATAACCGATTTTCATGGAGATGGTCCCAGTAGAGTATCTAGAGCTTCGGAAATAGACTACTTGACTAGGTCTCTCTCCTGTTCGAACACTGGGAACTTTTACAAGCTAAGAGCGTCCATTCTGATTGTGCTTTTCAATACCGGGTATTAGACAGTTTCACACCTCACAATATCCGACATGTATATATAAACATCTGTCCAATATAAGTGAACGCTCTTCATTCCATACACGGTCTTCTACTTGCTAGCAGCATAAGCTAGTTTATAATACCTTCCTACTCTAAGGTAGACTCATGGCCTACACCAAGCTATTTTCGGTCCACGCCGAGCTGGGCGCCCAGTTTATACATGGAGTAGAACCGCGTTGGGAAAGCAGAGAAGAAGGTAAACTCAAGAGCTGTAGTATTTTCCGGTGGCACTGGAGAAGCGCTCTTGCTACAAGGAAAGAGAGAAGGGTCATTAAGCTATGCAGTGACCGCGATAGCATTCCGTACCATCACCACTCCTTCATACTAGGTAATGAGGAATTGGATGCCTCCAAATCTTTGTCAGGCAAAACCTCTTAATCAAAGTACATATCGGAAGTCTGCGTCTGTGCGTTCAGTCTTTTCCACGGCGTCCGCTGAGATCTCTGGCGATTGTGCTGCTGCACCCGCTTCACCGGGCTGATTGTCTCTTCGCTTATTCTGCCAGACAAGATAACAGCGCAGGACGACACACAACAGGGCAGCGAGCGAGTAGCACGTAAGCAAGGTCGTGAACGCAGTCTGCGGCGCGAGAACCTGTTATCCATTGCGTCTTTATGAGAGGGGGTTGCGTCGAACACGTACCGTATAATGCGGCGCTTCACGAGCGATGAAACACTGCGGCCCGACAAGGTTCCCTGCCGAATTGGCAATGAAGAACACAGCCAAGACGGTCGGCTTCTTGGTCGAACCTGCGATGTTGCATGCGAGGAGAGACAGCACGAGCGGCAGGGGGACCACCGACATGATCAGCCAGAACCCGGCGAGTCTGCTCAGCTTGTCCTCAGCGGGCAGTAATTTGATCATCAAGGTGCCTGCAATGGCTACGAGGTACCAACCGGCCAGGCATAGGAGGCGAGCATTCTTGATCTTGGATGTGAGGACGGCTACGAGGACGATGGTGACGAGCTGGAAGGCGTAGGTGGGTAGGCCGATGAGTATTGTTTCGCCGGCATTATAGCCGAATCCTTCGATGATTAAGGTGGAGAACTAGATCCATGTTAGTTTGCTCGCTGAAGTGCTGGAATGAGGCACTTACACTTGTCGCACCACTGTTTGGGAGCGCAATGACGAACGAGAATATGAACCACCACCACACATGGAAATCCGTTAGAGCGTCCTTCACCTGCGACCAATCCCATTTGCTGGTTTCGGTCGTGCGCTGTAGACGACTCAGACGCGAGGAAGCGAACTGGCGATCTTCTTGGTGCAGGAACCATGCGGAAGAAGGTGAGTCGGGGAGGTAGAAGAACAGCACTATCGACCACAGCAAGGTAAGAAGCCCTAGGGATATGATCTGGATCTATGTAACGAGTTAGTTGGCAAAGCCTGCAGCAACAGAGACACTACCCACCTTCCACTTCGGAAATTCGCCCGTGTATTGAAGGGACCCGTAAGCGACGAAAGACCCTATAAGGCCTGCAAGGACGTTGCCCGTGAACCAGAACGAGTGGCGAGGAATTTGCTCCTCATCGGTATACCACATGTTCGTGACCAAGGAGAAGCCTGCAGCATTGGCGCTGCCAAAGACACCGAGTGCAGCACGGAGAATCATGAGACTCTTGAAGTCTACTGCAACAGCATGTAAAGTAAGGACAATCCCCCAAAATCCCCTTGATTTGGTCAGTGATGGTTTGATTTCATCGCCTCGGCTCGGAATGGACAGGGCTGTACATGAACACGGCCAGGTACTTCCCCAGCGGAAAGCGAACAAAGCCCAGCGAAACGGGATAAGACGCCACCAAGAACCCTACATCGTAGACCGCATTTGACCAGCTATATTGCTGACCTACCAAATGCTGTGTTTTGATTTAACTTCTGCATCTTGTAGAGCAGGGGACATACGTACCAGGTCTGCGTTCATCCCAAGCACCGCACTAAAGGCTAATGAGGTCTTGTCCAGCAGCTGCAAGCCGAAGCTAAAGAAGACAACCGGCATCAGACTGGTAACTGAAAGTCAGTACGAGTGTTCGAGAGTGTGCAAGGCTCTTCCCACTTACTACAGGTCGATCTTGCGGACCAGTTGCCTCTCATATTTCGTGTCCTGCACGTTGCTATGAGCCTCCACGGGCTGCACGACGACCTGAGATACATCGTCAGGATGCTTCACCGACAGACTATGATCCATCGTTTTGCCTGATGCTTGTTGATACTCGTATGGATCAAGGTTGGAGCTAAGATTTCATCTACGTTCGATGAAGTGGCGCGCAGCGGGTTAGTAGTAGCCCTGAACCTGGAATGCCATGATGAGACACGACTTTTACTCAAGGGGGAGTCAAGCAGTGTTCGGGTCTTCTAGCTCCGATAACCCTTGCTTTACCATGTCCGCAGCTCCTATTCGCGGATTCGACTGATTCCAGGGCTATATACAATCAAGGTCCCCTATCTGTACCCAGTGTAAAACGTGTGTGCTACTATAATATCAATCCAAAAGCTCCTCTCACATCCCAGTCCTCACCGCTCACCAACAACCCAAACAAGACGCGGGCAATGTCAGACCTGTACGAGCAGCGCATGCCGCGCTGCGAAGCTGAGGCCGAGAGGTTCGTGAACCAATCGAATTTCGATCGCCGGGCATCATTAACGCGCGTCTAGACTCGACGAGCAATACTCCCTGCATGGAGCGTGCGTAGCCCAACTCTCCCCTCCCAACCGGCGTCTAACCCATCCAGCAACCTCGGCTACGACCTGCATCCCAGCGTCGAGCAAGAGCTCCCCGCAGACGCACGCATCGCCGACATAGCCACCGGCACGGGCATCTTCCTGCGGCGAATCGCACCCAGCTTCCCGGACGCGGTCCTCCACGGCTACGACATTTCCGCCACTCTATACCCGCCCAAGTCCGCCCTCGCGCCCAACATCGACCTCCAAGTCCTCGACGCTAAGCAGCCGATCCCCCTCCACCTGCAGGGGCAGTACGATGTGGTCCACGTCCGCAATATCTCCATGGGCCTGATGCCGGACGAATGGCCGGCGCTGGTGGCCAACCTGGTCACACTGCTCAAGCCCGGCGGCGTGCTGCAATGGGTGGAATGCGACGCGTTGCACGTGCAGCATCTCGGATCCAGCCAGGGCTCGACCACCGCGGCTCTGGAGACGATGTATGGCATGAATCGCGCCCTGGTCAAATCGCGGTTCGAGGGGGGCTGGACCACCTTGCCGGGGATCCTGGAGCGACTGAGACTAGTGGATGTCAAACATCACACCGTGGGCACGGATCGGGTGGCCTGGACGCGGTCCAAGCTGACCGCTAATAGTATGATCTTTGCTTTTCTGTCTGCACGCGCGGGGAAGGCGGGAGATGGGCCTGCGTTGAGTGGGAAGGAGATTGATCGGTTGGAAGAGCAGGTGAGGATGGATATCGAGTCCGGGGGCTATTTGCGGTATGATATTCATTGCTTTCTGGCTGCTAAGCCGCATCTTAACTAGATATGGGAAGAGGTCAATGCATTGCTTGCCCTTTTGGGCGTGCTAGACTTTTCCTCCATCCAATGCCGGTAGACCGAGTGTTTAGTTTTGTCTTAACCGGCGATTTGCAGTTGCAGTCAGCAAGTCGACTGGCTGTAGAGCTTTCCCACAGCGGCTCTCGAATCTGGTATAATGCAAGTCATTCCCAGAGGCAATCAGCAGGTAAGGGCGAGGTTCGGTTGTTCAAATCGCCCGTTTAGGCCACAAGGTGTTAATTGGCAAAGAGACAATACCATACCAGTTACTGCAAGGGGACTGGGTATCGACAAACCCGTTGTCAAAAGACGGGACCTGTAATTACACAAGCAAGGACATAAGGCTTGTTGAATTGAGTATGCTGTTCTGTATGCTGCTCTGTACAGTCGATTGAAACTTCCCTCAGCATCATGCGTAAGGGTTGATCGTGCAATACTCATTTTTCAGCAGGTATAACTATAGCTATGGACAAAGCTGCTGGATTGTTCGCAGTGTAATTTACAAGTCATCGTATCCAATCGCGCCATGCCCTATCTTCCTCGGATCTGGCAGGCGCTGCTTGTCCTGTTACTTACTCGCATAGCATGTTGCTCCACGCCCGTGTCGGGTGTTTCCACAAAGACAGTCTTCTTCAACGTCTCGTTGACATGGGAGGAAAGGGAAGTCGCTGGTATCAGTCGCAAGCTCATCCTTACAAACGGTCAATTTCCGGCTCCGACATTGTCTCTCACACAGGGCGATGACGTTGAGTTTCTGGTGAACAATGATCTGCCATTCAATACGACGATACATTTTCATGGTACCGACATTCCCTGAATAATCTTTGGAGCTCTCATGCTAAAGGCAAGAATAGGCATCGAGCAACTGGGTACTCCATGGTCAGACGGCGTTCCGGGCCTCTCACAAACAACCATCAAACCCGGAAATCACTTCCTATACAAGTGGAAAGCCACGCAATATGGCAGCTACGTCTACCACGCTCATACCCGGGGCCAAGTGGAGGATGGCCTCTACGGGGCCATCTACATTGCGCCGGACGAGTCGGTCTCGAAACCGTTCCACATGATCACGACGGATCCAGTTGCTGTGCAACAAATAGTGGAAGCCGAGAAAGAGACGAAGCCACTCATCCTTTCGGATTGGCGCCGCCTGAGCTCGTCTGATATTTGGAAGACTGAAGTAGCCTCTGGAATAGAGGCCTTTTGCGCCAATGCGCTTCTGATCAATGGCAAGGGATCTGTCACTTGTCTTTCTGAAGAAACGATTCGCGAGAATATGACGCCTCAGCAGACGGGTGCGTTGGGGGGGACATACAAGTTCACTGACATGGGGTGAGTACGTCTCTCTCTCGGTGCTAACGGCATGAAACTGACTCCTATGACTTTGTGAATAGCTGCATGCCCCCGATAGACAACATCCTGGGTGCGTATCCATTCAACAAAACAGCTGTCCCGAGCGGCTTCAACCGCGGCTGCGTCCCCACGGAAGGAGAAACCGAAATTCTCGAAGTGGATGGCAGCAGATCCTACGCGAGCTATGATCTGATAAACGTGGCCGGTCTCACCAACGTCATGTTCAGTGCAGATGAGCATCCAGTCTGGGTCTACGCAGCCGACGGGCGATATATCGAGCCGCAGCTGGTTGACGCGATCACAATCCCCATCGGGGCACGCTATTCGGTCTTGATCGCGTTGGACAAACCGGCCAGGGACTATACCGTCCGCATTGTGAACAACGGTATCAACCAGATCATCAACGGGACAGCTTTGCTCCGATACAGAACCCCGTTACCAGAGAATCACACATCATACCAATCGCAGCCCGCCGTCGACCTCGCAGGCCGAAACCTTTCCATCTCCACGAGATACTTCGACGAGAACACCGTCACCCCGTACCCACCACAATACTTCTCTAAACAGGTCAGCGCGACCTACCATCTCAAAGTGGCGCATACCGACGCCGCCTACGGCTGGTACATGGGCAACGGCAGCTTCCTGCAGGCATACGAGAATTTCACGCCTCTGCTCCTCGACTCGGCTGCCCTCCCAGCGAACGCCACCATTTCCACGCAAAACGGCACCTGGGTCGACATCATCATCTCGGTGCTCAATATCGCCCAGCCCGCGCACCCCATTCACAAACACTCTAACAAGTTCTTCGTGATCGGCCAAGGTCTCGGGGCGTTCAACTACTCCTCCGTCGCCGAAGCCATGGAGCATATTCCACAGAACTTCAACCTCGACACCCCCCAGATCCGGGATACATTCGCGACGCCATCCTCGTCGCTGGGCGGGAGTTGGTTGGCTTTGCGATACCAAGTGGTCAATCCGGGAGCATGGCTGTTGCATTGCCATGCGCAGGAGCATCAGACTGGCGGGATGGCGTTGGCGATCTTGGATGGGATTGATGCTTGGCCGGTGGTACCGGCGGAATATAGGAATCAATACTGAGTATCTAGACAGGTTTCGCAATACATGAGCGCAGTGAGATACTCAGCTCCGTGGTTAAGCTTTCCTTCATACTATTCCAAGGCATATCAATACATCGTAGAGGAGATCGTGATCCGTGCGTTGTTCATTCTAATACAGCGGGCAGATCCATAGGTTTCCGCCAAGGAGGGCTAGCGAAGCTCAATGAAGTTGAACAGAGTGAAGCTACACTAAGCAAAGTAGACCTCAACAGGTGAATAAAATCGGCATATGCCGTCAAAGCTTGCGAGTAAAAGCCAGCACCAAGATATGCTGAAACCTGTAGCGATGGTGATACCATTGCCTACTCCTTGCCTATACTAGAACCACCAGCATACGGAATATCAGGACGCGAACACAAGGGACAGGTCCCAAGCATGTGATATCACCTCAACCCCAAGCAAGGACGCACTGCAGCTGGTATGCAGCCTGCCCCACTGCGCGATCACCCCAGTGGCCGTGATCTCCTTCAGTATACCCCCCCTGGGCCCCTCGTATGCTCAACCATCCCGCTCGTTGAAGGGCATACGCAACTTGATAGCATTTCCTATCCCGCGAGTATCACAGATTATCATCACCACCGCGAGATATGGACTGGATACAGTTCGAGAGAGGGCAGGCAACCCCCGGTGGTGTACTGAGATCTCTAATTTCGTTGATTCTCGTCTATGCATTCACGCTTGTCGTCAATCGACTGTTCTTCCATCCGCTTCGCAAAGTTCCAGGCCCCAGACTAGGTGCTCTGAGCAAGTGGTACGGCTTCTACCACAATGTCATCCGCGACGGCCAGTACAGTTTATCATTTGCATCACTGCACAAGAAATACAGTAGGTCGCCGACTGTTTCCACAATTCATGTGCCGCTAAGCTCAGTGTCACAACAGACTCCCCCGTCATCCGCATCGGCCCCAATGCCGTCCACGTCCAAGACCCAGCATTCTACCAGGAGTGAGCACCCAACGCAGCGAACAAGATGTTACGGGGACTAAAGCGTGGCCAGGATGTTCTCCATGACTACCAAATACTACAAAGAACCGGACTTCTACAAAGCCCTCGGCGCCGAAGGCGCCATGGCCTCAATCCTCGACCCGAAACAACACCGGATGTACCGAAACCATCTGCGTCCGCTCTTCGCCAGCCGCGCCGTGGACAGCGTGATCCCGCAGTTGAAGGTCGAGCTGGAGAAAGCGACGCGGATTCTCAAAATGCACCATGCAGAGGATCGGCCGTTGAATATCCAGTCGATGTATCGGGCCTTTACGGTACACCTCCGCGAGGATTGACCATCTAATGTGTTGGGGTGCTAACCATGGCACAGTCGGATATGGTCTGTGAGCTGCTCTTCGGCGAAACGCCCAACTTCATCGGCGACGGGGACGGATTCCATCCGTTCGTGGAGGCGCTGGACAAATTCACCGCTTTTTCGTGGCTCGGTAGGCGATACCTCTCTTAGAGGAAAACTATCACTGACCTGAATTGCAGTGGTATATTTCCCTTGGGTCAAAGCGATCCCATACGTCCTTCCCTTTGGCCTGGGCGACAAGCTTGCCCCGGAATTCAACGACTTCAAACGGGTACGCATCCTACCCCATCCCCATGCTCCCACATTTTAACCAGCCCCAGCAATGTAAAGTCTGGGAGGCCGAAGCCCAGGCCAAGCGCCAGGCGGGTCTACAATCCGAGCGCAAGAACCTATTCGACTACTACGCGGAGCTCCTGGCAGGTCCCGAGACCGCCGTCAGCGCCGTGGCCCAGCCAGCCGAGGACGCGTTCAATTTCCTGACGGCGGGAACGGAGTCGACGGCCTATACCCTGTCTTGCACGCTATTCCATATCCTCAATAACCCGGAGGTCTTCAAGACTCTGCGCAAGGAACTTCACGAGGCGGAGGAGTTCATACGATATGACTTCGATGCGAAACGTATTCAAGCGTTGCCGTACTTGGTATACCTCCTCAACTGCCGTATTTCGTGCTACTTTCGCTCCCCTCTCTAACGGAAAATTGCCGATAGGGAGCCATTATCAAAGAGACTATGCGAATTTCGACGGCGGTGCCGGGCAATCTGCCGCGGATGGTGCCGCCGGGGGGCGTTACTGTGGGCTCAGTCTTTTTGCCTGGAGGGGTGAGTATTAACCCTAAGACAGGACTCGAGTGTGGTACAGACAACTGACGGTAGGCGCAGACTGTCGTCTCCTCCAGCCACCTCTCCATCATCCACAATGAGACCATCTTCCCCTCGCCGCACAAATTCGTCCCGGAGCGCTGGCTCGGCGACAACGGCAAAGATCTCGAGAAATGGCATGTTGGGTTCAGCCGGGGTCCGCGGCGGTGCATTGCGGCCAGGTGAGGCCCACCTCCACCCTAACTCTTTCGGCACAGGTGACTGACCCTATCGCAGCCTTGCGTATCTCGAGCTATTTTGTGTGACCGCGTATGTGGTCTCGCGGTATGAGATGACCTTGTTCGAGACGAACGACAGCAGTATGCAGTGGGTGGACCGCATCAGTGCAAGGAATAAAGAGGATGTGCAGGTTAGGATTGTGGCCGATCGGTGGGCGACGTTCTGCAAGGAGGAATAGAGAAGGTTGTCAATTGGAAACATGAGGGGTGATCCTGTTTCGGTGCCTAAAAATGAGATTTGCATCTGTTGCTGTTTGTATCTACCGTGCTTGGTGCAGCGCATTGGAATTTTCCCTGCGTCGTGACGAGTCCTGTACCCTTTCTCATAGTCTGTGTCCATCCCTTGCGTTTGGGTACTGGCTAGATGTTGCGGTGTAAACAACGGAATGTCGATCTGCCGCCTGTCCCTTCGTCGTCCAGAAGGGGGTGAAACCCTGCCTCCAGCCGTATCTGCCCTGTCATCGAGACTAGCTATACAGGTATACAGTCCGCTTGGGCCAACTTGAACCTCCCAACGACTCCCATCCATGAAACCAAAGCCCCAAAGATGGACCAACTGGGCAATTTGCTTATGCTCCCCAGCGACGAGACTACCGCTCGACTACTGACAGCCTTCGCGGCGGGGATAGCAGCGCATGTCACCATCTTCCGCCTGGGCGAGTGGGACGTCGCCGCCGCCAAAATCCCCGCCAGCCTCTTCCTCGTCCAGTTCGGCCTATTTATCTACTACCTCTTCTTCGCCGGACCCCCAACGGCGCCCGGGACAGCTCTCTGGCTCGTGGGGCAAGTCACCGCTGCCCTGATCGCGGGAACCAGCACCAGCATCCTTGTCTACCGCGCCTTGTTCCACCGCCTGAATAGCTTCCCCGGCCCGTTCCCTGCCCGCCTGTCGATATGGTACGTGACGAGCCTCTACGCGCGCAACCCGGACGCCTTTAACACGATCCGCGGCCTGCACCAGCGGTACGGCGACTTTGTGCGCACCGGGCCGACCGAGCTCTCGGTGAACCACCCGGATGCGTTGCACGCGGTACACTCCGGGCGGAGCGAGTGCACGAAGGGCCCGTGGTATAGCATGCTGCATCCGTTCATCTCGCTGTTTGCCATCCGGGACAAGGCGGAGCATAGTCGACGACGCAAGCCGTGGGAGTTGGCGTTCCGGCCGAATGGTGTGTCTCCCCATAATTGCCGCGGGGTGTGATATGCTCTGCTAACGATGACAGCGGTCCTGGAGTATCTACCTGCGCTGGAGAAGGGAACGAACGAGCTGGTGCAGCAGGTCGAGAAGAACCAAGGCAAACCAATGGACATGACCTACTGGATCAATCTGTTCACCTTTGACGTATGGCTCCTCGTCCACAACATTGCCGGGATTTCCGCTAACTAATAGAGCAGTTGACCGGCCGCATCGCCTTCAGCCAAGAGTATGAGTGCGTGAAGTACAACAAAAAGCACCCGATCATGGAGATCAACGACTCATCGAACCTGGTGACCGGGGTCGTCAGCCAAGTCGTGTGGCTGATCTCGTTTATCAAGGCGACGCCGGGCCTGAACGCCAACATGAAAGCCTTGATCGGGTTCTCCGAGGAGCAAGTGCAGAACCGCCAGAAGATGCAGACGCACGGGCGACGCGACGTGTTTTCGTGGCTGTGGGAGGACTTCCAGGAACAGGGGATTGAGACGCCGCAGTCGCGGCTGGATTTGGTGGCTGATGCCTCGCTGGTGATTTTTGCCGGAAGGTTCGTCCCCCCGCCCCCCCCGAACAGCATGACCCCCTTCCCCATCATTATCACTAACTATGGCCCTGTAATATCCACAGTGGCACCGTCGCCGTAACGATCATCGGCTGCTTGTACTTCCTGACCACCTCCTCGCCCACCTACCTCCAGCAGATCCGCGAGGAACTCGCCGCCCTGCCAGAGCTCAACTCGCACACCCTGACCAAAGCGACCACCCTCAACGCCGTGATCAACGAGACCCTGCGCCTGCACTACCCGGCCCTCTCGGGCTTCCAGCGCCAGACCCCGCCGGAGGGGATCACCATCGGCGGCCGCTACATCCCCGGCCACACCAACATCAAGATCCCCTTCTACACGCTCTTCCGCGACGAGCGCAACTTCGCACACCCCGAGAAGTTCATCCCGGAGCGCTGGACCACCAAGAAGGAGCTGGTGCGCAACCCCGAGGCGTTCGCGCCGTTCCTGCTGGGTCCCTATAATTGTCTCGGCAAGAGTCTGGCGCTGATGCAGGTGCGACATGTCCTGGTGGAGTTGATCAGGCGGTATGAGATTGAGCTGGCGCCGGGGGCGGATCCGGACGCGTATTGGAGGGAGAGGACCGATGGGTTTGTTATGGGGTTGGCGCCGTTGCAGTTGGTTTTTAAGGAGAGGGAGGCGCCTGCTCTGTAGATCGAGTGGTGACTGAAGATATTGCCGTCCGTATTGTCGCGTATGGTGTGCAGGGTTGGATAAAATTGGAGATGTTTTGTATGGTCTTACAGTGCAGGTGGGATATTATGCTGCTTTGACCTTTACACTATTTTTGATGCCGATGAATCATACATTTTGATTGCTTACCATGCTCTCATGATGCTGTTGGACGGCGGTGTGATCACACCCTTTTCTGTTGGCACGAAATATCTGACCGTTTGAGTCGCTTTGGATTTTCTCTCCGGCGGACTTGCTGAACCTGAGCCACAGAAATAGGACAGATCCTGCGCACCCTGGTTAGGGTAGAGCGGATGAGGGGGAATCGGAGGTTGTGTAGAAGGGTATCGGAGAGAGGGAGGGCAGCAGCCTGTCTCTGCTGTTTTGCAGCATGAGCGTATGGATCAGTCGTCGTGTCCCATTCGTGTCTCGCGTCAACACTATTTGATTTACTTTCGAGTAATTACCCAGACCTCCCCTACCCCTTCCAGCGCAGGGCATTGGATTGGAGCAGTCTCGTGGGCTGTTCGCTATGAAAATTGCTGTTCTGCTTAACAGATCTACTGTTATACGGTTCTCGGTGCTTGGATCATATTATCGGCTATGTGATATGGCAGGGATTCGGCCTAGATATCATCACATATCGGAGACAAATGGAAACCGATTAGAGAGTATTTACATTGTAACAACCCTATTAGTCCTTCAAATCTTTGCGAATTATCGCGAACGAATACTATATAGCAGGGCGGAGGCACTAACCCTATGATAGCTCAGCGAGCCGGCTGCAACACTTACAAAGGCAGCTGTTGCCTCGCGAATTAGGCAAATTAGCACCAACACATTAAGGTAATACATTACAACCTTTAGCCCTACCAAAATGATTTTTCATCACACTATCTCACTCCTTGGCCTTTATATACTTTTACTGAAATATATCTCTCAAATATCACAGGGAACTTATAAAAAGACTTACTGAAAGATATCCCTGGCTGAAAAAGTATATCGAGCAGAAGCAGGGCTTTAGCATTGACCCTGTTTGACAAGGAAGCTTTTGATCTAACAAGTGCATCAAATCTTCATGACTGAGAAGAAGAAGCTTTGTTCAGGGTAAATAATGCTATCCTTTCGGTATAATAGACCATAGGCCTGTCTGTAAAAATATGTTGCCCTACAAGTTGCCGCACTTACCATAATCGTGAGCTTAAGCTAGTTGCATACCTTGCACACCAACCACATCCTCCTGTAGGCCATTCTATATACCCTGTAGTCCTTGCAATGATACATTGCATATGTTGAACAAGCCATAAAGTCTGGGACCTTTCTTATGGAACGAATAATCATTAGTCCACTAACACAGGGAAGGATCAGGTCAGGCCCTCGCAGAGTGAGCAGCTAACCCTGGTCTCAAGTCCAGCAGTTAGAATCCCTCGGCTAGAGGATACATCATATCAGCGCTTCATGGGGTACATCAATACTTCATTGGGCTCGCAGCTCGGCACGATGGGACGTGAGCAACGGCGGACTATTATGGGCAATTCAGATTTCTCCACCGTATGCACCACGAGTCACAATGACAAGAATTATTTTACGGCCCTGTCTCTCGGCCAATGATGGAGGAGATTTGCATGTGGATAAGCTACCCCGGCTCGCTAAATTGGGTATCAATTCTAGTCAGTGAAGGAAATGCTTTCGATGAAGCAGTGAATAAAAGCAAGATCTGGCTACTGAAAATTTAAGGTTGATTGCTGGAGAACATGTAACATCGACTCTATTCATCAGTGATTCACCTACAATCTCCATTATTGTAGGAGGAATCTTTGATCATATCAAACGGAACTTTCTTGACTTGAGCACCGCACAATTCCCCACTTGGTCTTGGTCACGGCGGCTAATGAGACAAACAAATGAAATGCCTTTACACACGTCAACTTGCATGGACCCATGCCATTTTTTAATCATCAAGTCATGCTGAGGCACCCCTCTCGAGTCTCACGAGTGCCATGCAAAATCTTTCAGCACAATGCCTAGACACAAGGTCCATCGCCCAGGGTGGCTGAAAGGGCTTTCCAAGAAAGAGAAACCCAGCGATAGCCACCAGACAGTCTCTGCCAGCAAGCCTAAACATCCCATACAAGTAGAGTCAGCCACTTCTTCACCGGCACCCGAATCGAGAGTCGAAGGAATCATCCGATCATCCGACGCAACAGATACTGACGCCCAGACGGAGGGCTCCCAAGATTCATTTCACACGCAGAGCCAGCAAGGTGAGCTCGAAAATGGGTTCGAAGATGAGCTCGGATATGAGCGCGATGTTACGCCTGAAAATGAAGCAAAACCCGGAGATGATCCCCAAGACAAGCCCGACGCTGCTGCGCAGTACAAATGGACGGCTCTTTGGAGCGCCGCGTACGAGAAGCTCGGTGACGAAGATCGCGACCTGCTCAAACGCTACGAAACCGAGATTCTGAAGCAGAGCGAAAAGAGTGGACAGAAGGGAACCACTGATGCGGATACTGGGCGACAGCAGCGGATGGAAGCGATCATCCGACAAGAGCTGGATAAGCTGGAGGCGAAGCAGCTTACGGTCGAGTTCAAGGATAAAACAGTCTACGTCAGGGATGGGATGCGTCGTGTGGTGCAGGGAATTCTGGCTTCGAAAGATTTAATCTCCGCGATCATTTCTACTGAGCCTCATGCATCGGTGGTGTGGGCAGGAGTTCTCTTGGTCTTGCCAGTCAGTGGAGCATCTCATGGCATCTGCGAGGGTACTAACTTCTGTGATTTAGCTGATGCTCAACCCCATCACGCAAGAAGACGATGCGACCGCTGGATTCGAGTTTATCTCAGCTCTCTTGGTCCGATATAGACCGATCCAGAGTCAGATTTGGAAAGGTTCAAATGATGTGCCTGCCAGGTATGTTTGCTGTCTCGGGGCTTTCCATACGGATATTTTCTAGACTAACACATCAGGGAAAGTGACAAGCACTGGTTGAAACGGCAGATTGTCTCGGTTTATGCCGAAGTGTTGAGATACCACGCCAGATTCTTGAAACAATATCACGAGTCGTCACGGATGGGCCGCTACTTGAGAGATGTCTTCGTCGCTGATAACTAGAAGGATATGATGAAAACATCAAATCGATGGATAAGATGGTCGACGACTACCTGAACGTACATTCCAACACTATTATAAGAACATTGGAGCACGACTTCGAACGAGTCCAAGCCACACTAGAGAGAGTGGAAAAGAAACTCGAGGTGAGAGTCTCGCGAGATGTGGTTTGTGTGTCGACAACTAACACTCCATCAAGAGACAGAAGAATTCTGGGTTACTCGAACGACTTCAGGTTCTTGGTACAGCACTTCACACCTCACGGCGACTGAAGGATACAGAATGTTTAAAAGACACACAGGCATCTATTCTTTCAGAAATCCAGTCGTGGCTTGATAAGCCTGATGGGCCCGTGATTTTCTGGCTTCATGGAATGGCGGGCACAGGAAAGTCAACCATTGCTCGAACGGTTGCATCGAGCTGTGACCGAAGGAAACGGCTAGTTGACCAAAGAGAGCTACCCAGCAGTATCTGTCTGGGGGCTACTTTCTTCTTTCATCGAACCAAGCAAGGGCGTAACTATGCCGACTGCTTCTTATCAACACTTGCTTGGCAGCTCGTACAGTCCTTACCGGACCTTGCCACGCTTGTGTGTGATGCCATCGAAGCGAACCCTAACATCGCTTCCGATCGGTTGGGAACCCAGTGGAATACGCTGATCCTGAGCCCGCTCAAGAAATTCGGAAAGAGAATCCTGCCAAATGTGACATTTCTCCTTGTCATCGATGCATTGGATGAGTGCCTGCCAGAGACACCAGACACCCCCGACAAACCGGGACAGGACATCGACAACACTGATATCCAGACCATTCTCGAGCTATTGAAACAAGTCCAAGAGTTGCAAGGCTCGCACGTGCAAGTCCGGATATTTCTCACCAGTCGTCCGACAGAGGAGATCAACTTTCGATTCGGTCAAATGTCACCGCATGACCACCAAGACGAGACACTGCTAAAGATCCCCATCCGAACCGCCGACGACTCGCGTGAAGACGATATCACTCTCTTCTTTGATCACAGGCTGAAAGGTATATACGACCAACGACGCCAACATTCTAAAACAAAGAAAATGAATTTCAAATGGGACGAGAGACGGTCAAGCAAAGAGACTATTCAGAAACTCGTCTTCCAATCAAATGGCCTGTTCATCTTCGCAGCCACGGCATGTCGATTAATTGCGCAACGGGGAACAGATCTGGGTGATCGGCTGGAAATCGTTCTTGGTGGTGGAGGCGATGAGATAGATCATAGATCTCCTCAGGGGACACTTGATGCATTTTATATCGACATCTTGAAAGTTGAAATCTGGAGAGATGCGACAAAGGCAGAACAACGAAAGAGAGCCTCTCAGTTTCAGCGGATTATCGGCACAATCATCATTCTGTCAGAATCTCTCAGTATCCAAGGTCTCGCCGGGCTCATATCATATCAGCCGGAAGAAATGGAATATGACATCCAACAGATGCTGCAGCGCATGCTGTCGGTTATGACCTGCTCCGACGATGATGGCTCAATTGAGCTGCTCCACCTTTCATTTCGAGCTTTTCTCGTGAGCAAGGAAAGAGCGAGAGATTTCTGGATTGATGAGAAGGAACTTCACAGAGAGGTTTTCGAGCGCTGCCTAGAGGTGATGTCCCAAACCCTGGAAAAGGACGTCTGCCGTCTTGGAAGGGTCAACACTCGTTTGGAAGACGTTGAACCCAGTCATATTAAGCAGTACCTTCCAAAGCATACCAAGTATGCTTGTTCATACTGGGCATACCATTTTCAGAATAGTAATGCTGTGCTCTCTGATGGTGGAAAGCTCCACGGCTTTTTTCGGAAGCATTTTACTCATTGGAATGAGGCAATGGCGGTTATGAAAAAGACATCTTCCGCTATCTTAGCTCCCAAGGGGCTTCTTACATACACAGCACTTCATGTAAGCGAAAAGGTTTTTAGTCTGTTGTCAAGATGCTGATTTGTATCAAGCCGAAGCAATGCTCCGAACTCAGCCTGTTTATCAACGATGCCTGGCGGCTTCTGGTCAATTCCAAATCAATTATCGGAGAAGCACCCTTGCAGCTCTACGCATCTTCTCTCCTCTTTGCCCCAAGAAGTAGCGTGGTACGCAGATACTTTGAGCATGAAATCCCCCATTGGATAGTTACACGTCCATTGACGTCGGAAAACTGGAGCCCCTTGCTACAGGTTCTCAAGCCAGGCAAAGAGAGAGCGGATGAAATTGATCCTCTCTTCTCCCTGGGCCAGATGCTTCTTGCCACCACGGCAAGCAGATGGGGAGGGGATGCCATCGAGCTATGGGATACGGAGACTTGGACACGTGTGCAGACATTCAGGCTCAATAAGCGGGATGTCTGGAGTATGGACTTTTCGCCAGATAGCAAATTATTTGCGTATTCGGGGGAATTTGAAGCTATCGAGGTGTGGCACTTGGAGGCAGGAACCCCAAGAAGTCTAGGCTTGTGGCAATCTGATTGTGAAGATGAGACTCAATATTACGGACATAGAGATGTGGAAGTGCGATTCTCACCGGACGGTAAAAAGCTCGTCGGTGTCTCTGCTGGAGGAAGGGCTCAGATCTGGGATCCACATACGGGTAAGAGGTTGCATACGATCACACATGCCTTGCGCGGAAGCATAGAGACGTTTGAATTCTCGCCGGATGGGACATTGCTTCTGTTGTGCCTGGGGCATTCTGGAACAGGCCTTCACCATGGACTCCAGCTCTGGAATGCAGTCGAATGGGTACACTTACATTCATTTCCAAAACCCGTCAGTCAATCTGCGTCATTCGATCTCGAAGGAAGAGTTAGGTTTGTAACACGGGATGGACTTGTAAAAATCTGGGATCCAGTGGCAGAGATTATGGAATCTGGCAGGAATATTGACCGCCCGAGAATTGCGTCGTTCTTGCCTTATGACGATTCCCTGCTTACATATTCAGAGCATGGCGAAATCCATGTTTGGGATTCACCAGGTACCGCTCCACGTGTAAGCCTAGATTTTGTCAATTTCGGTGACTCGGCCGCTCTTCGTGTCGCATGGTTTCCACCATCCTCCGGTTACGTGATTATCTTCACTGATGGGGGTTCTAGTTGCATATGCAATGCCAGGATAGGAAACTTGCTGGGTGAATATTTTGGGACAACTGCGGCGATTTTCACCAGATGGCACCCTGATTGCAGTCCCTGGTGGGACCAAATCATTCGAAATTTGGGACTTTCTTTCACGCATCTCATCGAAGCATGCGAGTGGCTTGGAGTATAACATTGCCGGGAGACATTTTATATCGCCCGATGGCAGTCTTGCCATTCATACAAAGAATAAAATGATGTGGGCTTCGCATATAAATGCAAACGGGATTGCTCACACCTTTTCGCTCCAGGGCGATTTTTACATCTGGAACAATGGTTTCTCAAGCGACGGGACGAGGTTTCTAACAATAACAAGATCTGGCTCAGTGAGTGTCTGGGATGTCAATTCATGGAGCTCGACAAACCTCCATACCTTGTCAGTGCCTGATGGCTATGAGATTCATTTGTGCTGGTCACAGCATTCGCTCGAAGCAGGCTTGGTGGCTGTTCCAATGAGGGGCGAGACCTGGAGCATTGGAATTTGGGATCTCTCGACTGGTCAGCTCTTACGGACTATTGATTGTGAAGGGAAATCATGGGACTTGGTCTTCTCCCCAGATGGAAAGCTGATAACTGCGAAACTGGAAGATGCCTTCGATAATCTCATTTGGAATGTCAACACAGGTAAGGCCGTCAAGAAGGTTGAGGGATACAAGACAGCGTTTTCTCCAACTGGTACAATGGTTGCCATCGTATCTGGGGAATCAATTCAGCTATGGTGCACCCATCTCTGGGAGAAGATGGGTGAGCGCAAGGGGAACGAGCTCGGATTGGTTGATGTGGACACGGATTTGGAGCTGTGGTTCTCCCGAGATGAACAATGGCTTTTTTTCAAACAGAGGACATATCAGAATTACTTCAATCCTTGACCCAAGCCAAGGGCCCTTGGGAAGAGAACTTACCTTTAGCAGGGCCCGGGACTCCATTGCAGAGGCGGGACAGGAGCTTATCATGATTCCTCGCTCTAACGTTCCCGACGATGTGTTTTTCCCTGATCCCTCGGTTGCTGGTTTTACTGTCACGCTGATTTACGATACTGGGCCGAATGCTACCATCAAATTCGACGATTCCAAGAATAGAACAATTAGGGATTCTTGAATGGTATAACCTGTGTCGAAGTTCTATAACAAGAGTTTGCCGCCAGCCTTTTGATTTGTCTATTTCTCCAGCCTTGACCTGTGATCACCCCCCTGAATAGCCAAAAGAGTGTTAAGACACTGATCTACTCGATTGTTTGCTCCAGTGGATCCTGATTCCTGTCAGAATACCCTACGAAGAAGGCATGAGGCAACAGTCACGTGGCAAGTAAGCGAGCTGGTCAGCAAGCGCGGTATAAGTTAGCACTGCTCGACAGAAAATTTATCGAATATGATGAATCCTGGTCGACACACAATAGATGCCACCAGTTCAGTTCCACTGGGTCCAACCGTTGTATTCATTACCTCAGTGGCTGTCTAAATCGTACTTGAATGAAGCTTATCAATAGTTTCATGATCACGTGACCAACGCTGTTCAGTCTACCGAGGTATAAGTACTCCAGTAACCCCCCCCGACTCCATCCCATGTTCCTGTCAGCCTCAGCCACTAATCTCGTGGCCTGGTTCTCAACATGAGCCCCTTCACCCTAGGTGCCAGAAACCTTCTCCCACGGCAACTGTATCGAACACCCTACGTCTCCAAAAACACCTTGTCAATAATTCTTCCATCCGTTTCTCCTCAGAATGGGCGCCGCCATTTACTTCACAGCACCACACCACAACTTCATCTGAAAAAGACAACTCTACAAATTCCCAACAGATTCCTGTCATCGTCACCTGCTAGAATCAGCCATCACGACTCAATACGTACTCCATGGATGCCTTTCAACTCCAACCCAGCCGATGTGATCGAGAAGCACATGCTCAAACGGGGCTGCAGGACCTGGGGCTTAGTCATCTACCGATGCACTTACAAGAGCGACGCCGATTGGGAGGAATTCATGTCTCGTCTTCTCTATCAAGTAAGGAGTCCACTTGAGGAGTATTACGATGGTCTGGATATCCTTGACTCCTTCAGACCGACCGTCATGGACGATCCGACGCGTTTTGACGGGGCAACTCCGGATGCGATACGGGAGCATTTCAATGAATGGGCGCCTGCGGCATGTGAATCCGAGCAAGGGATCTTGCCTACGGATGTCGGGCACAGGTGTATAGCACGGTACGGACTCTGCATCATGGTGGATGAGGAGGCCCTGCGCTCTGTTTTGGCCATACCTCGCGAGGATCTGGATGGCAGTAACAGGACCGGGTTTGTGATTCTCGTGCATCGCAGACACCTCGAGGCGCGGGCGAGCATAGATGAATCCGACGAGAAGATAGAGGATGACGACTGTGAGCCACTGTATGGCTGCACATGGGAGGATGTCGGCTGGATGAAGGTGTGCTATGACCAGGCTCAGCTCTATACCTGCGCGCACATGAACCAGAGCTATCAGTGGGAAATGGAGTATAGACGGCCTCCGGAAATTGGTCTTTACTGCTGACCTTCGCTTTCCCTCTGTCCTGAAGCTTCTTTCCGGGATAATGGGTGAATTCAGTCTACGTATGGCTATCAGAGGAACTAGCTAAGAACTACCGGGGTCGACGGTGAGCAGTGAGAGGCCTGAACGGCGAGGACCGCCAATAGTATCTAGAGTAAAAGGTTTGATATACAGAAAATCAAGGTCAGAACTCTGAATCGAGTTTCGAAAGGTTACTGCAACAAAGTTGCAGTAAAGGCCGGAGTGAGACTATCACAACTAAGCCCCTTGGCCTGCTCTGCAGTGAACAGTGCTTTTGTTTACACCCCTGGTACCCAGTATGGTGTTTTGAAAGCATCGGTCTATACAAAAGCGGCGAAAGCAGACATTAACACTGCGGGGCAGAATTGTGGCCAAGAAGGTCGGTTGGACTCGACCCGCTGATCATCAAACCACAACAAGACCGGCTTGACAACATCCGACGCCCTCGGATGATCCCTTACGATATAGCGGTGGAAGGACTGCTGGCAGTCGTCACAACAGACTCTCGGGCACGTTCTGCGTGTCGAACCCATTGGCGACCCAGTAAGACTGGTAGTTCGTGTTTTGGGGATTATAGTAAAGATCCATGTCGCCCCCGCTCGGGACAGGCACGTTGGGGTTGGTGAGGCTAGGGTTCGTGACGCCTAGATTCGCCGGGCTCGGGAGTCGGGCTGACCCCAGCGATACCGGCTCGGCAGATGGGTTGTCCACATCGCTAGTGCTAGCATTTTCCTCGTCAGCCTGGAGAAACTCGATGGAAAGAGAAAGAGAAAGAAGCCCCTCAGGGCTGAACACATACAGCAACCATAGAAAAGCGTCGAAAAGATCCAAGTCGGTGCCAAAGGAATCGCCCATGGAAATCAGTGCCTGCTTGGCCATCTTCATGATTTCGGTACTAATGACTTTGCCGGTCAGGGGCCCTACGTGCTGGATCTCATCCAGACACTGGATCCCGCGCTCCACCGTCGCTAACGTTGCCCGGGCGTCCTCCTGGCCGGTGCGCGGGTCCAGGACATCGTAGAGGAGTGTGATGCAGGCGGACGCGAGGAAGGTGGCCAACGTCCTGTCGGACTGGATATCCGGGGACCGGCGATAGTAAACATCGTGGGCGAGGTCGATCAGGCTGCGGGCGGCATTGATCGAGGCGGCGATTGACTCCCGGATCTTGACGGGCCCTGTGGCGTTGCTCTCGGCCTCAGCCGTCGAGGTGAAGAAGGTGGCATACATCAGGCTGGGCCGGTGCATGAGCATACACGTCAGGTAGTAGATCATTCCCAGGCTGATGCGCTGCACCTCCTGCCAGCTCTCTCCGATGTGCAGATCGTGGTCATAGAAATGGAGATATGACGGAAGCGACTGGGCAATCGACTTCAATCTCGCATCGCACTCCAACAGGAGCGTCTCGGATTTCGCCACGTCCGAGATCTCCCGCATACAGCTCGGCGAGTACGTGGCAATCGACATGTTGTCGGCCACCCAGCCCATCTTGGCCACGGCCCGGATCTAGGCGCACTTGACCGTGGGGCGCAGGTACTCGGGCTTGATGTTCTGTAGAAAGATATCCTCCGGACAGGCGGTGTCGACCTGATCTTCACACAGGCTGGACGGGCGGCCAATGAAGAGGGCCGAAATCTTCTCGTTGGCAAAAACGGTCCAATGGTCCAGAACGTGACTCGGAGCTGGTGCATGCTCAGATTAGGTCCATCCGTCACCTGCGATCGATTGATGCCCAGGGCCAGGACATTGCGAGTAGCGTATCCGAAATATAGATACGCCTCATTGGGCCTCATGATCTGAAGCGCATACATCGCCTGGAGACGCCCACAAATTAGCGTTGGATGGTGAATCCCGAGTGCCCAAGGGAAAGGGGAGAGAGAGCAATTGCAGTGTGGCGTCACCCACCTTCAGAAGCATGAAGTGAGTGCCTTTCAAACTCGGCTCTTGAAAGTACATGACAACATTGTTCACCTTGTGAGAAAAGTCCTCGGCCCATGGATCCGCCCAGTCGACGGTCTGTTTTCCGCTGTGGCTTGACACACGGGTGCCAATCGCGAGGACCATGTATAGCAAGTCCTTGTCTCTCAGGACCTTCCCTGGCTGAGGAGCGTCCCACAGCTTGTTCCAGGTGTCCATGATCTCCGAGTAGGCTATTAGGGGCATTTGAGGATGCATAATGCGGAGATAGGCTTCGAAAAACAACGTCCCCGTCTCTCGAGGGAAATAAGCATCAGTCTGCGACGAGGAGATGGCATATTCGTTGGTGGTTCCCCGCGAAAACACGAACCTCTCCAGGCCCCATTTCTTCAAGGCCTCGAGGACAGTCGAGCTCCGCCGGAGCGCTTCGCTCAGATAAAAGTCTCTCTTCACTCGCTCATAGATCCTTTGAATGAAGCAAAAGTGCGACGAAGGGCCTGTGAGTGATACGTGAATCATTCGAAGCACGTTGGGGGAGGGTTGCGGATGTCCCAAGACCACCATCTACGCCAGACCACACTGACCTACGCAGAGTCTCGTACCATAAAATTGAAATGATCCCGTGGCCTGGTTGGAGACCTCAATGCCGACGCGTAGCTCGGGAGTACAGCAAGTACTGTATGCCGCGAAGCCAACTGGAGACTGGAAAAAGTGCATATCCGAGGCTTACAATCACTAGCTTGGGCTTTTTTATTCAAGTTAGGGGATACAGTAAGTCAATTGACTACTCCGTAAACTGCGGTTGGATACTGGGCAGTCCTCAAAAACATTTCAAATCCTCGGCGTTTTTGATCCTGAAAATCCTGACTGTATACTCTTCTGACTGTATACTCTTACTTAGTACCCGGTGCCCACAGACATCGGTTTTCACCACTTCTCAGCTACCGAGTAGTTACGAAGAATAAGAAGAGCCAATAATAGGGGTTTCACAGCCAATCCCGTATCGGAATTACCCCACGGGCTTTTCCTATCTAGGACTGACTTTAATTCCGGGAATTGATCCACCACGTACTTCCTACCTTGCGCGAAGAGAGGCGGTGGAAGGATTTGGTGCTAGTTCCGATATTCACAGTGCATCCCTCTCTACGGAGCAGTATTATAGTAAAAGCCATGGGTAGTTGAAGTTGAATGTCAAACGGTTAATCAGGGCTTTTACATTACTGTTTGATTGCCCAATTGCCAGTAGAAAAATGCTTCTAGCAAAATCTTAGAGTTAATAAGTTGTAAGAAACCTGTTTCAAAGTGAATTCTTGCTGTTTTGATATCTTATCTAAGATAGCTTATGTATAAGTTTTTTACTGAAGCTTTCGCATTATTCTAAGTCTTGATATACTTTACAAGTTTCCAGTAAAAATTGTTTACAGAGTTTGGCTACTAGCTTCCATTCCTCGTAAGGCGCACCGTAGGGCGTGAACAGGCCGGGCTTTGCCAGGCATTTCCTAAAAGAGCTCCGTGTACATACAGGTCGTCATCGAAGCCCGAGTTTTATCATCATCAGCCTTTCCCAAAAGAAAATCCCCAAAGCTTTGAAATCACACTTGTCTTGGTATCCTGTAATTCACACAGGCGGTATATATAGTGCCCAAATCCTACACCCAGACGGCACCGTAACCCACTATCCATCAAGCAAGCCACAGTAACAAACACTCACCCACAGCATGTCCTCGTAAGAAACACCCCCTTCCTTTTGCCCCGCCACTGCGTCCATATACCCCCCGGAATCCAACACTGACACTGACACAATCACAATGCTTCCCCAGCGCGTCCGAAAGGTACCTCGCCCTCACGCGAACCAAGGGCAAAATCTCCCCGCAAACAGCCAGCGATCTTTTCGACCAATTCCCACCCATCAAACCCTCGCAACTCCTCGGCAGCTGGAGCGGAGAGTTTCTCAACACCGGCCACCCCACGGGGCCCAAGATGGAGGAGATCCAGTGGGTGGGCAAGGAGTTTTATTCGGTGGATGACGTCGACCCCGTGATTGTCTCCCGGGACGGCCAGCGAGCCAGCTGGGGGCAATGGGGGCGTGCGACTGTATGTTTCTGCTTCCCTTTAGATTTGTAGTAGATTGTCCCATGCTGATACTCGAGTCTTGATGCTTAAATAGTTGCGAGAGATGGTGTATCGCGGGATTCTGTCGACGGTGATGATCTACGACGACCGCCCTGTGTTTGATCACTTCCGGTACGTGGACGAGAATCTGGTGGCCGGGATTATGGAGGGGAAGGCGGTTGAGGGCGGGGATTTCCATTTCTATCTGCGGCGGTAGGATCGGGGTGTGTGTGTCTTTTGAAAATTGGATTAGAGAAGCAAACATGAGCTAGCTTGTCAGTTCCAGCGATAGGAGCCCTGATCAGTGGCATGCTGGAATCGGGAGAATGCAGCAGAGGAGTAAAGGTGCAGACACGTGGTGAGAAATCACAAACCAAGCCCTATCTCGGGTCTTGTCGCGGCATGACAATCAATCAAGATTTTTGGTGAGGGAAAACAAAAAGAAGAAGCAGAAGAAAAAGGAAAATAAGTTCGGAGAAATAAGGACAAAAGAGAAAAGAAAGGAGAAGGGAAACTGATTCGTTCAAGCCGAGTATATGACAAGGAATTGCGCCTGCAGGTCAAACCCCCGAGTGAAAGTTACAGACTACGTGCTCAATAGTCAGGATCAAACATGGATTCAAACCAAAATCACAACCTCTAGTCTATCACGGTCTTTAATACACACACTCCAAGCATTATGAACCCATGCACTACCTACATACAAGCTTAATCGAAAACGGACGCCTTCATCGAGTTAGGCTGGATGTACTCCGACGCATTGCGGAAACTGGTGAACCCCCAGCGGATCTGCGCGGCCATGGCGATCTCCACGTCCAAGTCCTTGGCAAAGTGCCACGCCAGCCCGGTGTCGCGCTGGAACGCTCGTCCGACCAGGATAACGTCCAAATTATCCTCGTTCAGGATCTTCTCGGCCAGAACCCCGTTGTTGATCATCCCGACCGCCGCGACGAGCAGCCGATCGCCAACCGCCTTCTTAACCGCCGCGGCGAAGGGGACCTGGAACCCGGGGCCCCCCTTGATCTTCTGGGCGCTCGAAATGCCCCCGCTGCTGATGTCGATCAAATCCACGGCGCCTTGCGCTGCCAGCGCCTCCGCGAAGCGGACGGTATCGTCCCCCTTCCACCCGGCCTCGCTCTCATCCCAATCGGTCGCCGACACCCGCAGGAAGACCGGGACATCGGCACCCACCGTCTCGCGCGTGAGCTGCGCGATCTCCAGCGGTAGACGGACGCGATTCTCCCAGCTGCCACCATAGCGATCGCTGCGCTGGTTCGAGGCGGGGCTGAGGAAGCTCGAGAGCAGGTAGCCGTGGGCGGCGTGGATCTCGATGAAGTCGGCGCCGGCGGCCAGGGCGCGCCGGGTGGCCGCCACCCAGGCCAGTTTGAGCTCCTCGATCTCGGCCAAAGTCATCGCCTGGGGCACGATCCCGTCAGCCGAGAAGGGAATCGCGCTGGGGGCCTTGACGTTGTCTGTCCAGCCGCCGACGGCGTTGGTGGCCACCCCGCCGCCCAGCCAGGGGGGCAGCGTGGAGGCCTTGCGGCCGGCGTGCGCCAGCTGGATGCCGATCTTCTGGCCCTGGCTGTGCGCGAACTCGATCACCTGCCGGATCGGCTCGATCTGCGAGTCCTTCCACAGGCCGACGCAGCCGGGCGTGATGCGGCCCTCCGGCACGACCCCCGTGGCCTCGATGATCATCATTCCCGGGCCGCGCTGCGCGATCCCTCCGTAGTGCGTCGTGTGCCACGGGGTCATGTGGCCGTCGTCGGCGCTGTATTGGCACATGGGTGCCAGCTGCGGGAGGCTTAGCTTGCTGTCCGCATGAGATGTTCAGAGATCTGCGACCGAGAAAAGATACTCACTCCTAGTCGGTTCTGGAAGGTTTGACCGCGGATGGTCAAGGGCTGAAAGAGTTTCGGGATGGGCTTCCCACTGCTTTGAGGGTTGCGCGCCGTGCCCGCGGGGGGAGTCTGCGCTGGCGTGTAGAAGGAGACGCCCGGGGCGGCCTGGACAGGAACATCGGGCCAGTTCGTCATTGTGTCGATGTTGTCGTTGATGTTGATGGTAGATTGCTTGTGATGGGTAATAGAATGCGAATCCAATGCGTCATCTGGCCGGGCTGTAGGATCCAACTTTTATAGTCCCCCCGGGAGGGCTATCGAGTAGTATAGCCATGCTCGAACGTTCGGCCCAGCATTGTCTTTCAAAATGATTTCTAAGCTGCGAGGCGTGGAAAATGATTTCCTGGGTCCACCCTATTTTCGGCGGCCTTAGTAATACTCACAGTTCAGGGGTTGCGCGGTTCTAAGGTGGGAAAGCTCTGATTCGGGGAAGAGGGTATGGGCATAGGGCGTGAAGGGCGCAGCAAACCCCGGGATCCACAAGTCCAGCACAGTAACTACTGTACATCATCAAGTGTTCTTGGCGCTGACATGAGCATGTTCCATGGCTTGGAGGTGCCTGTTGGCAATTGACTTTTCTCTGCTCCGAATGCCCTGAACCCATCAAGTGTCACTCTAATCCCGACGCATGTGGCGGATGGCATGGGCTAATTCCGCCAACGGTGATATCCCTCCCTGCGGGGAAGCCAACCCTGAACCTTGTGGGCGATGAGAGTCTTCCTACGTCATACTACCAGATCCTTCACAATTACTCGTATTTAGACCACTGGCAACCATAGTAGCACAAAAGGTCCTCTTGCAGTACAATTCATCACAACTAGCACCTGAAATCTTGCAGACTTAATCAAAATTCCCCCATGTAAAAATGCCCTCAGCAATCGTCACCGGAGCCACCGGTATGCACCCCGTGTCTCCGCCCGGCCACCTAACCCTAACTAACCATCAACCCCAGGAATCACCGGCAGCGCCATCGTGCACCACCTCTGCAAAGACGACCAATACGACAAGATCTACTCCCTCTCACGCAGCAACCCGGGGTATGCCAGCCCGAAGGTGCAGCACGCAACGCTGGACCTGCAGAGCTCGGCCGAGGATATGGCCAAGGACTTGCAGGGGGTGCGCGCCGACTACGTCTTCTTCTGCGCCTACCTGGCGCGCGACGACCCCACCGACCTCACGCGCATCAACGCGACCATGCTGCGCAATTTCCTCCGAGCGCTCGAGCTCACCGGCGCGATCAAGCACCTAAAGCGCTTCATCCTGACCTGCGGCTTCAAGCACTACGGCGTGCACCTGGGCCACTGTAAGCAGCCGCTGCAGGAGGATGACCCGTTGCTTGAGAGCAGCAGCGGCACTTCCTGGCCCCCGATCTTCTACTATGAACAGGAGCGCATCCTCACCGAGGCGGCCGCCCAGGGCGGCTGGGAGTGGGTGGTGACCCTCCCGGAGGACGTCCTAGGGTACGCGCGGGGCAACTTCATGAACGAGGCGACCGCGCTGGGGCTGTACTGCGCCGTCAGCAAGGTGCTCCCGGGCTCCCTGCTGCCCTATCCGGGCTGCCGGGCGAACTACTTCGCCTTCAACACCTGGACCTCGGCGAACCTGCACGCCAAATTCTGTCTCTGGGCGGCGACGGCCCCCGACGCGGGCAACAACATCTTCAACGTGATGAATGGCGACACCGAGAGCTTCCAGAACCTCTGGCCGCGGCTGGCCCGGCGGTTCGGCTGCACACTCCCCAACCCCATGTTTCCCGGCGGTGGCGGGCCCGATTCCGCGGGGTTCGGGGATTATGAGGCGACTACGGTGCGGATGGAGAATCTGCACCCGCTGACGGAGCATGAGCAGGCGATCGGGGTCCGGGCGGAGGGTCCGCCCACCTTGTTCCTGCAGGTCGATCCGGAGAAGTGGGCGCGACGGGAGGATGTCAATGCGGCGTGGGGTAGGCTGCGGGACACGTATGGCCTCGACCAGAAGGCGTGGGAGAAGGCGACCTGGGACTTTTTGACGTTCGTGCTGGGAAGGGATTGGAGTTGTGTGGGGACGATGAGCAAGGCGCGGAAGCTGGGGTGGACGGGCTATGCGGACACGTGGGAGGAACTGGAGGAGACGCTAGAGGTGCTGGAGAAGGAAGGCGTGCTGCCTCCGGTGGATAAGTTGAAGAAGGATTTCTAGGCACAGTCTAACACGGTCGGTTACAGTACGAATGAGTACATAATAGCTTTTCAAATTGGTTATATGATTCTTCAGGTTGTAGCAGGGCCCGCTACGCATCCTTGCCTGTCAATGCTTTTGCATTCTGATGTATCAAGAGAGACAACGCCGCGATGCTGGCCGACTGATGAAAGAGTGAGTCTTGTGGCACGGGTCTTCAAGCCTCACTGTATATACAGTGAAGCTTTAAGCCCCCTGATTCTGGGCGCGAAACCATCTTTGAGAAGGTGAACGCGCTGAGAATCCATGATTGTACTGTACTGTAGTGTACGTACGTCCCAATCCCGCCTCCTCGTGATGTCAGGTACGGTACAGTACAGTATTACACATGCTCTTCGTACATACTAGCACGACCGATGGGACAATGATCAAGCTAAGTAGCAAGTATTCGAGAACCTCTATTTTCTACCAAGCACGATGCAACATAGTTTTCGAGGTGTGAGAGTGTGATAAAGGATATATATGCCAGAAATAACATTCAGTAAATACGAGATCAGTTGGTCTTCTCAGCTGCTGCTACAGCCTTCAGCCCCGAATAAACGGCGCGTCTCCACAATCAGATCCTCGACTTGTAGGGGAGTATATGTAAATGACCATCGATGAATTCTATGATTCGGCTTAAGATGATGGTACGAGTTCCCCAGCAATCGCAGAGGCTTGCTAAGGAGTTGTCGATGGTAGGTGTGTCCGTGGCGGAGGCCAATGCGATGCGCGCCCTAGGGCGTGCCCCGCCGCGCCCTAATTGATCCTGCCGCGCCGTCAGAATTTTTCACCATTGAAGCGGAATCACAAGCAGGCCAACATAGCCTCATAGTTTGGACAGACTATCAATTCCTTGCATTGCGTGCTCGGTTCCTCTCTGATCGGAACAGTCTGCATGAAAGGACAGTAGCAACACACAGCAACCCTGTTCCCCAAACCCGACCTACACAGTCCACCTGAACCATCCACATCCCCACCCCTATCAAATTAAAAGACATACTTGTAGTATTGGCTACGTGCTGAAAGAAAAGAAGCAGATTATCTATACTAATGTCCCCAAACCTCATTCCCGGTCTAGGAAGAAGACTTCTCGGGGGAGAACCCCCGGACCCCCCTTTCTTTCAGCTCCCCAGCGACACACAATACTAAGTCCTAGAATACACACTTTCCGGGGGAGAACCCCCGGACCCCCCTTTTTTTCAGCTTCCTGGTGACACTCAACCATAGATCTTAGAGTGTAGGTTGCTGGGAAGCTGAAAGAAAGGGGGGTCCGGGGGTTCTCCCCCGGGACGCCCGCCTCCCCCCCTCTCCATAACAGCGCGCATCAGCCCCTCATTCACACCCACATCAACGCCCACCTCCCTCCCCCGCCGCACCCAATACCCATTAATAAACCTTACCTCCGTCTCGCGCCCGGCCCGCAAGTCCACCACCATCGAGCACGTCGTCTCCCGCGTGCGCTCCAGCACCGTGTTAACTGTGTCCTCCAGCCGGTCGAGCGCGAACCGCGCCGCCACGCCCTCGACACCGCGCAGCTCGGGGAGTCGCGGCACGATGGCGGAGACCTCAGCCAGCACGGCGCGGCGCAGGGCTGGCTGGGTGAAGAGGAATTTGTTCGGGGCGTTGTGCAGCGCGCAGACGGGGTTGCAGAAGGCGTTGACGGCGAGTTTTTCGAGTTGGAGTTGCAGGATTTCCGCGTAGGTGGTGTAGGTTCTTGCCGTGAGGAGGGGGGAGCGGGGTAGGGACTGGAGGAGGTAGTTTTCTTCGTTTTGAGGGTCTGTCGAGGGTTGGGTGGGCTGGGCGAGTTGGCGAGGCACTTTCCCCAGTGAGATGGCGGAGGCGCCGGTGTGCATGACTTCGAATGGAGCGTTCAATGTGACGCCGTGGGAGATTACGCCCACGATGTAGTTTGGTCGGGTGCCGGGGTCTGGGAACAGGTGCTCGTTCACCTCGTCGATCGTGCCGCAGCCGTTCTGGAGGAAGAGGATCGTCGAGGATGGGGTCAGACGCGGCTGCAGCGGGCGGAGGGCGGCGACGGTCTGTGTGGCTTTCACGGTCACGATCAGGTGGTCGATGGGGTTGGTTGCTGGTTCCTTCAAGGAGGGTGGCGGGTGCCAGGTGCGAGTGGTCTGGTTGTAGATCTCGAGGTCGTAGCCGCGGTGGTGGGTGGTCTGGCCGGTGACGGTGTGCAGGGTGGTTTGGCTGCTGTTGCGTAGGTATTCGTCGTATAAAGTCTCGCGGTGCAGGAGGAGGGTCACTGCTGGTGGCGTCGGGACAATCTCGTTCAGCCCGTGGGCTGTGAAGGTGCCGATGCTCCCGAGGCCGAGGACATGGACTCGTGGCTGTCGGGGTGGAAGGAGTTTCGAGGGCATGGTTGCGGAATGCGAGCAGCTCCGACTCATAGGTCTGCAGGTTGAAACCAGATGTCGAGGGAGTACTCGTAACATGATGTGCGTTGGCGTCGTCGACTGCACTGCGTTATCTATCGGAGAGTTACGGTGCTTATGTCTGTTCAGTCACGCCCTACGCCCTACGCCCTACGCCCTACGCCTTGTCAGGGCCTTTTTTCATGCGCCCTATGTCAAACCCACGCCCTTAAGAAGCCCATGAGATCCGGTCATATCTCAACAGCGTGAAGATTAGAAATGCTAGAATGTTCAAGCAGGTCCAATTCTCCTGTCAATCCCTCCGCCCTGAATCCGACCCCATGAGTCAATCAGTAACGGACCCCTTTAATGCAACACAACAGCTGTACAGTACACAAACATGCCTAATAGATACGACTTGCTTCTATCCCCAGATATCCCCCTCCCCCTCCCCTTCCCCATTGTTCTCACAATGCAACCCCCGGAACGCCGCCAACCACTCGGGATTATCCGCCACCGTCTGATTCCACGTGTCCTCCGAATCGTACAGCACGCGCCGGGACTCCTGCTGAAACATCTCATCCGTGGGCACGACCCCCTTCCGCATCTGCTCGCGGGCAAACCGGCTCAGATGCAGGGTAAGCACCTGGGTGAACGAGCTGAGCTGATCCGGCGCGACCCCGGGGGCCATCGCCTGCAGCGGCGGGGCGACACTCGGCACGGCGGGGGCGACGATCTCGCGCGCCGCCTGCTGGTCAGCCTCGCTCCACTGCGCCCGGGACGAGATCTGCGCGAAGTGGTCTTGGACATCGCAGTTGGTCGCGGAGAACGGGATGACGCTGAGCGACTCGGACCCCAGCAGGTACGGTGGCAGGGCGTTGGCGACCAGCGCCGCGAAGTCCGCGGGGAACTCGTGCTCGCCGCGCCAGTCGGCCATGGTCTGGCCCGACCGGAAATGCTCCGCCAGGTGCTCGACGCGCTCCTCCCAGCTGCGTAACCGGGTGTCGCAGAACCCGCAGCGCGAGGTGATGGCTGACTGCCCGATCTTCCAGCTCTCGAGGCCCGGGGGCCCACCCCCCTTGGTGGGGAGGATGTGGTGGACGAGGCGCAGGTGCTGCATCAGGTGGTCCTTGCGGCGGAAGGAGCGGCGCGTGCCGGGTTTGGTTTCGCAGGCGGTGGCATCGTGGTCGTTTAGATGGGCGATGTCCGGGTCGGGTGCCCCGCAGAAGGCGCATAGGGTGGTTTCTGGGGCGGTGGAGGAGAGGACGGTCGTGCCGAACGGGGCGCAGTACCACGCTTCCAGGGTGACATGCAAGGATTTCTCGTGGCGCGCCCAGTCGTACTTGCTCTTGAAGCGGTCGCAACAGAAGGTGCAGCAGTAGCGGCGCAGCGCGTGGGTAGAGCTGGTGGTTTTGGCGGTGGTCTGTCTCTTACGAGATGGGGCTTTGCCCTTGCGAACCCGGCTGCCCCGTCCTTGGACTGCCAGCGGATCTTCTGCGGATGAGGTCGAGCGGCCGGATTGCTGGGAGTCTCGCGACGAGGCGCTGGATTCGCCGCTGGTGGTCGATGCGGCTCGTCTATACTGACGGAATGCATGGCTACTGCCTCCCGATGCACCCTGGCTGATGCTGTCTGGTAGACTGGGGGCCGTCTTCAGCGCATCGATGATATCTGGAATCAGGGCTGGCTCCTCTTCCGGCGGTGAGTTCCGCCACCTTTCCATCGGGTTCCAATCGCCGCTGGCATTGGGGATTACAATGGGGCCCGCTTGTGCTCCTAACTGCCGGGTAAGGTAGCGGCTTCGACGTCGAGGGAGCTGTCGACCATGACTTGTGGTAGAGGGATCGGTGATGGGATGCATTGCTCTGGCTGTGCGCAGACGGTCAGAAGAGGAAGCGCTCAGCCCGTCCTGCTGATGGAAGTTCGGGGCGACAGTGGCCATTTGGGAGGGACCTGATAGTAAATGGCTGCCTGATCGCCCACTTGGCGACACTGCATTGTGCGAGCAGTGGAGGTCCAGCTCTGCTACAATGGCAGAAGGCAGCTCGGAAGAAGGGCTCAACAGCTGGGGTGAGATCCAGTCACATATTCCGGAGCTCGAATGGTCGACACTGAGCAGAGCTGGATCGATCACGTTAGAGTCATCTTGTGCGGCGGTGACTATAGCTCCATCAGCACGATTATCCTTCGATGTTGCGCTATAGTACATACGCAGCTGAGCAGCCTGATGATTCATGGCGGGGCTATTTTCCAACGTAGGGTTGCTGAGATCGAGACCGTCCGGCATACAGTCCTCACGGAAGTAGGGTTGTACAGTAGTCGTCAACAACTGCACAGGTGCCTGCTTGGAGTTCCTTCTTCGGTTCTCGACTCACTTTCAACGTGATTACAGGAATAGGTTTTCTCTGGATGTACCGGCAGGAGTGGTTGACAAATCAAAAGCATGTCGAAACGGTCTTGCCTGGGGTGGCGCTCCTCTGCCCACTCATTACATAATTCCCGCCTCAGGCAGCTGCAGAAACTTGGCTACTAACTTAGGTAGTTATCTTTAAACCCCGATGACAAAGATTGCTAGCGCATTGTCTGTGCATGTGCGTCTTGACCAGATTGACAAGTGAAATCCTACTATGGCCATAGGCAACGACCCTTGCTCTTATCTGTGTTGGCTTGCGTCCACAGTTTTGAACGAGCCGATAACCCAATGTTGTTATTTTTCTTTAGATGTGGACTGGGCAAGGCTAGAAAATATATCAGGGAGTATCTTAAAGAGCCAAGAAGCCCCACGTCAATCACCGCGACACAATGTTGACCCGTGGTCTTGGCACAACATACCCAAGGCAGCAGTGAACAACCCCTGCGGGACACAGCAAGCCCTGTAGAACAATCTGATATGGTGAATGGCTGGCGAAAAGATGACAGAATTTGATGTTGCTATTGCTGACTTTTTGGATTATATTGTATTAAATCCAACTCCTATGCATCGACCCAAGCATGTTAGCTCAGGGGAAGAGCGCCGGGCTCATAACCCGGAGGACCCTGGATCGAAACCAGGACATGCTATAATCTTTTTTTTCTTCTCTTTTCTTTTTCTTCTTTTTTAACTTCCACTTTCACGTTCACCCGCGCCATACAGGTACAAGAGTCTAGAATTCAATTTTGTGTTACCCGATATCGCAGTGGGTGACTCCTGTTAATTTGCAATAAACCTCAACACAATCTACTTTTATTCCATTCCCGCCAACATTATACCTACTGATGGATAGTACTCGTACATCCAGATCATTTGTTAAGGCATGGGCCGACAGCGCAGGGAGTCAGCTGGCAGGCAGATAGCAATTATAAAATAGCATAGAGTTTGGAGATGAGCCTTTCATCTCTGACAAACAATTTATAGAACCTTGAGGAAGCTATTTGATGTTATATCAACTACCAAGTAAATAGCCAAAACAACAGCAGACAAGAGGAAACTCGATTGATGTTTTTGGGCCGGATCTTATCTCCTTTACGTTACCTCAGACAGGGGACGGACGTAGGGCACGTAGTCATCTACGAACAACTGAGTGGTTTATGCTGCTATTCGACCTGAGCCACGGTGGTAGTGGCAGTGACGGTCGAAACCCTTCCGATCACCGTAAATCAGAACCGTCCCGTCATCTCGCCAAAATGAAGCAGAGGTCAAAAATAAACACGTAGGGCGTAGAACCGACTGAACGTTCATGGTGCCATCATATTCGCCTAGATTATTTGGGAATGACAATGGTTCTAAGCTTGCGAATATTAAACCTTGTCTACTTCCAAAGTTTCAAACTCTATGATCTTTAAACATAGACTTCGAATCAACACAAAAATTCTTTCTAGGATTAACTTTTGAAAGAGACGCATAATACAGTTCAAGCTCGGGAGTAGAATGGAAAATGAATGAATAATGTATCATGAGATCTCTGATACATATTGACTAGAATTCAAGAATTATTAGTTATCCAACTTCTCCGTCTTTAAATTAAGTCACATAGAGACTCATAAATAGATATAGCTAAAGACCCATGAAGAATCTCAGAGACGAATAGATTCCCAAGTAGTTGCAGATCAATTTTTGGATAGTCCGGGCTGACAGGGCTAGGTTCTCCTGCAGAAGACTTCTGCGGTAAGCTCTCAGGCTTGGACCGTGATAGTGATAGTATAAAGATTGTGTGTGTCTGTAGCGAAGGCAGTATGTCTGTATGTCAAGAACTACTTAATACAATAGGAATGTATGTGAGACAGGATGATATCACTGTCATTCTAATTGTAATACCAATCACTGGGAATTGTGGCCCCCAAAGGTCAAGGGGGACGAGTTACAAAGAATCAAAGTACACAACCGGATTCTATGCTCCACGAATCAGTATCAAGGCAGAAGCAGGTAGTATATGCTGTTGCAGTGTACAGCACCGTAGCCAGGTCAGTTGTGTCCGTAGCGAAGCCGGTGTGGATATGCGAGTCCCCAGATATAAACAGTCCGCTCTTATGACACATATGTGGTATGTCTCGGATATCTCTTGCCTATGCTTCAATCCGTCACCACGCCGGGGTCTGGATTCTTGATATATGAGATTGGCATAGTTTCGGTCTCTTGTGGAGTTATCCATTGCTTATGGTGGAACACTGCTTACCAGAAAGCAAAGCGTAGCAGTGACCCTCTTTTGACGCACGGTATCGTTTGTTCCTTTGTAGACCCGAGTAATAACACGCAGACGTATGCAGGGAGGTGGCGCAGGTGCGTCCCAACAGATCTTCACTCAATCGAGAGCAGTCATCGAAGAAGGTCTAATTCTGATGATTTGGACCCCCCGCAGTCCTTTCAGCAAGCCGCCGGTCATAATTCAAACCGCATCCTCGAGGCTACCATCACCCTGCTCGCCATAGACAAAGAGCAGTAAGAGAGATGATGCACCTCGCTCGAGCCAGTCTTGGCAGATATACCGCGCCCATTCTGGGTGGAGGGTCCCCAAGAAGATGTATCGACAAATCCGAGTCACGAGGTATCCAACCCGGTCTAACCACAAGCTTTCCGCTCCTCCGACCCCGGTAGGGATGACAATCTACTGGATGCTTCGGGATCCCGTCGTCTGCATTTTCTACTGACATCGCAGCAAAAGGGAAGCTGAAAAGGGGGCTTGACTGGTTGGCACCGCAGGACTCGACACACTGGCGGGGGGGTGAGACAACCCCGCTATTTCCGAGCCGAACAACAACTCAGACATGGTGGACTGGTGGAGAGACTACCTATTTAAGCACGTGAGACTAGCCCCCAACCGGCAAGATGTTATGATCGCCCGCGGCCGAATGATTACTTTTAGACTACTCAAGTTAGTTTACTCGGCACCCGCGTACCATTCCCAATCTGAAACCCCGATCCCGCCGATCATCTTCTCTTCTCCTTCCACGGGTTTCCACGTAACTTTATCCGAGACCCTAATTCTGGGTTCGGTACCGATCGTCCCCTGACAGTATCGTACCGTACCGTACCCGTTGCTCCAAACTTCACCGCTACTTCGGATGGACTTGAATACAGAGGAGAGTTGAAAACAAAACAATGCTAATATTCAGATTTCATCAAGTTGATGACGCTAAGATCTACCGGAACTCGAAGTGACCGTCGATGTTGAACAGGCGCTCGGCGAGGTTGATGTCGCGAACGTGCCAGTTGCCGTGCTCGTCGCGGAGCTCACCGCGGACGACGGGGACGTGGGCGCCGCCCTCGATGTCGAAGTGCACCCCGCGGGCGGACTCGAAGAAGTTGTGGCCGCCCCATTGGAAGTGGCCTATTCCGTACCATCAGTACCTGGGTTTATAATTTAGACAGAGGAGAAGGGTGCATACCGTCGATGTTGCCAATGAAGTGGTTCAGGTCAATGTGGGCGGGGCGCTCGTGGCCGTGCGCATCGCGGAGGAGAGCGTGGAGGAAGGGGCCCTCGAGGCGGATGGAACCGTGGACGGCGGACTCGTGGAAGCTCATTGTGGAGGTGTGTGTGGTAGATGGTAGAAGTAGATTGAGAGTGGTTGGATGAGGGGGAATTGGGATGATGAATGGATGTCAGTTCCGGAGGGCGTGCAGCTCCCTTTTATAAGCTGGTTGTCGCTCTCCTTTGCCCACGCAGGAGGCGGGCTATCACCCCATCTCGGTCTGTATTGCCCGCATTGACTGCTTGGCTGGTGGGGATCCGTATTCGTCTACGTACGTAGCTGAGTCGCGACGGTGAAGGCCAAAGGGGCCATTTCTGGCGAGACAGCCACAGTGTCTGGGTGGTTTTGGCGGGGAGGGGCATTGAGGGGCTGTGAGGCTGAGCAGAGCAATTGTGAGGCGTGGCTGAGAGGCGCACACAGAAGGACAGCTGAAGAGAGAGGTGATATCCACTTTCCATCAGATCGGGTAAGGCGAACCGGTGTCGGCGGTGGGTCAGGGGAGGTGGCGATTACCTAATAGGTATTGACCGTCTCATCTTTGAGGGACTGGAAGTTGAGCTTGTCTGCGTAGTATGGGGTATACCTGCACCTGATCCTTGCCGATCTGGAAAGCTTGGGGTCATGTCGTGATCAGGTGGCGAGGATCGACGGGCTATGATGGATGGTGTGCCGACAAGTCAATTTATGACAAGTCCAACGTTTACAAATGACTTACCGGTAGTTACAACATAACTATCCGTCTGACGCAAGTGAGCATCTTGCGGCATTAATTGACACTGTGACTAGCTGTTCACATGTGAACAAACGAAGAAAATCAAATTGCATAGATCATGTAGCCACAGCAGGAAATACGGCAATCAACCGCCAATCACAGCCCTCTACCGCCTGCTAATTCGTCAAATCTTCATGGGAATGAGTCGAATAAGGCATCATAGCTGAGCAAGTTGCCTCTTCTAGTCGCCTCTTATATTGTTCAACGCTGCCTAGCTGATACCTGTGACCTCACACCGACATGCGGGTCTCATTGCCACCTGTAGGTATCACTCGGCTACGCCTCATCGTTGACGATTCCCACCCACCAGATACCGATACTTGCTTCGTGTAGGTATGTTCACTCCGGGGTTTTGAAGACCACACAAGTCCCAATATATCCACTTCGCAATACACAAATCAATCACGGTACACTTAAGCCCACATCTTCTTAAACTTAGCATTGAACTCCGTCCGCAACAGTTGAAACATCTCGAGAACTCGTTGCAATCCATCTTGGTCGAACACGGATTCCATTTGCTGGCATACTTCCCCTTGGCCCTGCTCGTCGTGGTCGGTGGGCAATGTCTCGTCGAGACCAGCTGGAACAGTATCCGCATTGCTCTTGGTTTCATCGTCCATCATATCCTCCCAACTGTCCGGTACTTCTTCCTCTGAATCAGCGGCGAAAACAGTCTTGCCTCCTGTCTCATTCGCCTTCTGCTTCGCCACCGAGTTCTTCTCCCTCCCGGGCAGCACAGTCTGGGCCATACTGTCAACCTCATCTTCCTCCTCCTGCGCATCCCCGCACCCCGTAACTCCCAAATCATCCGGCTCCCCCACTGATGACTTCGCATCCGACTTTAGAAAATTCTCGAGACTCGTGACAATCGTCGCTAGTATCAGAGAGAAGTCATTCAACAGGAACCACAGATCACCGCGCCGAATCATGTTCTCCTTATCTAGCGCCGACTTGTTGCCATGCTTAAAGAAGTCATACAAATACGCATTCAGCGGGCCTGCCTCTCCGTCTGACTCAACTGGCACATGCGGAATAACGGACTGTTCGAGCCACACTCCCTGACGCACTGATTTACTGAGGTGTGCGATGGTCTTGGGGGGGTCAGGACAGGATAGGGCGACGAAGGCTGATGTGATCGCCGCCTGGGTCGGGCACATGACTGCTGGTCTTGTGTGGTTGTCACGGGCGGTGAATTGAGAGATCGAATTCGTGCCGCCTTGTTTCAGCTTGGTCAATGGAAGCACATCATCTGGGTTGTGGAGGTGCTGGTCAACGAAGGTAGCGACGTAAGTGGAGTAGATGTCCAAGGTCTCGCGATTGTGGTGCCGTAGGATTCGCTTAGCTGGTCGGGGAAGGGGTGGAAGGACTACCACCGAGGTTGACTGTTTGTGGCGTTTAAGGTGGCGCTTGATGACGGAGGGATGAAGGGGCCGGCGGCCAAATAGGTGCGACATGACTACCATTAGGGTGCGGAGGGTTCGTTCAGGATTCTCATCGAGATGCTTGCTCAAGCGGTGGAAATATCCCGCTTTGAGGAGAGAGTGAAGAGCGAAACTGGAGTTCTCAGTGTAGTAAAGATGGGAAATCGCACCGGCAAAGTTGAGTGGCACTCCAGTCTCATCGAGGAGTTGGTTGCGCCGGAGGTAATCGATCGAGAAGCGTAGATGGTGAAGTACCGTCTGTCTGGACTCTGGCCCGCCAAGGTAAATGCGCGGACTTGACAGGATCGAGTCAACAACTTTCTTTGCGAGGATAGCCTGGTCCGATTCATGAAGTAAAATACAAAGACGAAGAACTAGACTGGTGGTGATGGGAAAGTGTCCGTTGAGGTCAGGCAGCTTGGAGCTCATAAGGCGACGGACTTTCAGATCAGAGATGTCCTGAAAGACGATATTACCTAAGTAGTCAAAGCCACGGCGACCTGCCCGTCCCGCAGATTGTCGAAAGTTGAGCGCTGTCAGAAACACCGAATCACCTGCAAATACGACTGTTTTGCAGGGCATGTTGATACCCAGCGCCAGCGTGCCAGTGGCAATAACGACGCGCAGAAACCCCTTCCGAAACAATATCTCACACACATTGCGGTATTTGCGATTCATACCTGCATGGTGAACTCCTACTCCGCGTCTCAGCGCGTCGATGAATCTATCAGGTACTTCAAAGGATTCTAGCTCCGCGGCATATGTTTCAAAGTCCGATTTCGATATCGCCCTTCCATTGGCCAGAGAGAATCTATCAAGCGGCTCGTCGGGGTCAAAAGACGCGTACCAGTCGGGTTCCTCTGAAGCAGCTTCTCGCAGTCGGTCTGCCCGTGATACCTTGTCGGCATTGTGGCTTGTGGCCTTTTTGGCACGAGTCGAGCTGGACTTTTTCCATGCCTGAAAACGGGCCAGTTTGCTTTTCCATTCTGCATCAGACTCTTTCCAAGATCTTTCGGCATTCTGCAGCTCGCTACAAATGCGATGGCAGATTTTCTCGCACCAGCTCCTGTCATAGTTGAAAAACAGGGCCGGAAGGGCGCCTTGCTCGGAGAGGGCGTAGATGAGCGGTAGAGTCGTATTCAGCAGGGCTTCTAGGCCGACCAATGTCGTGTGATGACTGTTCGCAGTCGATGAAGAATGAACATCAGTTTTCTTGTTGTTGAGAGCGTTCTCGGATAACTCCTGCACCACGGCGTCAAATGGCGATTTCCGGTCTCTCATCCATGATGCAAGAACTGCTTTCAATCTAGATTCGAATGGGAAAACATCAGCTTTGGTCATGATTTCCGGCATCATGGCTGAAGGAGATAGGGAGGCATCAAGGGCAAATTCCTTTGTTTGATTTGTGACCATTGCTTGCCAGAGCTTCAAGCAGTCGCGGGGCTCAAGTGAAAGATCGTCTGGTATGCCCCTTGAACGGTCGATCAAACTTGTTACGGGGTGTATGAACTCCATGTCAGCACACCCATCTAGACCGAGGACTGGAAGCACTGCGGGCCCCGGGAGGCCATCAAAGTTAAACCTGGCTGGTGGACGATAGATGTACTTCCTGAGATCCGACCAGCGGACTTTGTGCTCCACTGTTTTTAGCTCAAAGCCATTTGCCCGTTGTGTCAGGCTCAGCCAATCGCTGAACTCTTTGGGATTGCCGACGGTTGCAGAGAGTGCAACAATAGGACATGGTGCCAGAAGAAGTAGCTGTTCCCAGACTACGCCGTCGTCGGCTTGACCAATGCAATGCACCTCATCAAAGATAATTCGCTTTATGCGGGAGGACCATGACTTTGCGTTGCCTGGCGCAAGAAGCATGATTTGAAGAATGTGTGGCACTGTGATGAGTACCTGGCACTTGGTTGGATTGTTGACTCGAGTATCACGGGTGTGAATGGCCCAAACAGACTTTCCAGCGTGCTTGTAGGTTTTGGAGAATCGAGCCTCGATCTCTGCGGCGACTTGGTTGACAAGGGCTTTGGTGGGTGCGACATACACTAGGACTCCGTCATCACTGTCTTGGAGAACTTGTTTGATCGCATAGAACCTGCACATATGTTAGGTAAGTTTGCAGATAAGGCCTAATCACTCACGATATGAATGTTTTCCCAGCACTGGTAGGAGCCACCACAAAAAGACTTGCCTTGGCATCTATCTGATCTAGGATCTCTCGTTGCCATCTGTCAGGCGCAAAACCCCTGACCCGGGAATCTAGCGCTGACTCCATGTTGCGATCGAGAAAAGGACCTGCATGGAGAAGCTGAAACTCACGAAATGACAATCCTATGTGTAAGCCCTCAGTATCGGCTCCCGGGAACGCGAACTCGAATGTCAGGGATTGATTGCCATGAGGCACTAGGTTGACTTCCGGAAGGCCTAGTGCTATCGAAGTTTTCGAGATGCACTGGATGATATCTTTAGTTACTCCCACTGGCACCTTGGTGATTTGAAGAATTATATGCCAAATGAGGGCCACTATATGCATTGACTGGCTTTTTTTGGAGGCGAAGCATCGCTTGCGCCAAAGACCAACCAGGGTGCTTATCAAGTATGTTAGAACTTCAGCTTCTAAATGACATCGCTTCTCTTCTGGCAAGCCCTCAAGGTAGGACTTGGCGTTCACGTATCGCTGGGCGAGACTTGGCTCTTTATCGAAACAGCGGCGCTGGTCCTGCCACACTTCCATCTGCTTCTTGATAAACATCAATTGCTTGTCCTGAATCTCGGATGATGGATTGGGTCCTGTGGGACGACGGGTATTCTCCTGGTTTCTTGTAGGTCTGCGATCCGCAATTCCTTTCGATTCTCGAAACACTTTTTCGGGCTGCAAGATGCCTCCGGTCGCATCTGTGAGACTAAGAGCATACTGCCTGATATCTCTCATCAAGCGCTGATAACGACTTTGAATCTTCTGAGGCGGTGCGGCGGGCTGCTTCACGTCCAAGGGACGGCGGGCATTATGCCAATGGGTTCGCTCCGTGAACGGTTTCGAACGTGCAGAACTCGAAATCCCCACAGCAGAGGGTACAATGTCCAATGAAATGGGACCCAGGTGCTTGTCCAGAATGGGGTTACTGAAAGGCATGACAGAGCCCAAGATATTCGAGTGGCTCTTGCATCTCGAGTGGGCTATGTCTAGCGTGTGTTCCTGGTACTGACGGTCTGCTGACATGACACCGTCTCCTGTCATGATGGTTCCGGCAATCTTTTGTGCGCAGATCTTGTTGAGTGTTGATACGAGGAGATTGTATCTCTCCACTACCGTAGGGCTGACAAGCATTGCCAAACTCAAGTTCTGATCCCTGTTCAGAGTTCCGAGAAAGATCCTTCCGTCAATCATATCGATTAAGTCGCTGGGCACATGGTCATCCGCAGTGAATTCTTGCCAGGAGGGAGACTGCAAGACGGCAAGCGCCATATCGTTGTACTGTCTCAGGAAATCCGCCCCGGGCCCAGACACATCGGGTTGACATGGGCGGTCACACAGTCGACACTCGGACAGAACTGCCGTGTGTAGCAACATAGCTTCCATGCATCTGCCAGCCTTCTTACGTTGTTTGCCAGTTTCTCCCAAAGCACTAAGAGTGAATACAACGGCCCATTCCCGCTGAGATAGGCTCGGACGTGGGACAGTTTCGTAAATTCTCCTGAAAATCTTCTTGATTCGTTCACTTGGTTGACCTGCTGGGAAACTGACCGTGGAGCTGAACACTGCGCCAGGATGGCACATGTTAGCCGCATACTTTTCCCCATTTGAGCTCAGTTGAGAGATCATATCATGTACAGACTTCGAGTCCACATTCTGATCTTCGGGCGACTGCTGTCCAGACAAGTCCAAGCCCTCGAGGATCGTAGAAATGACCTGTACAGGTCAGTATGTGCTAATGTCTCAGACTGATAAGTTTGACTTACCTTAGTATCCCGAAACTCGAGACTATTGATGAGCGAGACTGTATAGCCGCGAGACAGGGACCAAGAAATAAAACTTCGGAACGTAGCGGAGTTGCTCACGGCGGCTTCATTGGGCTTCGCACCGGTTTCAGGTCGTACCTTACCCGAGGGATTCTCGTCGTCTAGTCCCGAGATGTTATGCTTTTCCTCATCATCCATATAGAGGGCATCAGAATTTTCTGCTTTCTCGGCGCAAGGCTGGTGGTAGATCGCTGGATCTTCCCCATCATGACACATGATGAAGTACGCACGGGTTGCCACAAGGTAGTCGTCGAAATCCTTGCAGTCGTACCCCTCGAAACAGCGGATGTGCATGGACGGGATAGTCTCTGGTAAGTGGCGACTCATATGTTGCAGGATGACTTCACGAGCTAGGCGATACTTCGACCAGTTATCCGCGCTGCTGTGCTGTGGGATGCATGCCTCTGAATGGGATGAGAAGAAGACGATGTGAAAGTGACACTTCCTCTGGTGGAGTTGTGCGAGGAATCTCTCAACGATGTAAGTGGCATGAAGGAGCTGAAATCCGAGGTCAAAGTCTAGCAGATCGTCGGAAAAGCAATGGCGTAGGAGCGAGTCGCCCTCCAGGATGAACAGTTCGTCCCCGGCATAATCTCCGATGAGATCGATAGTTCGTGGACTAGAAAGGCTTTTCCTGGTCCAAGCAGGATACGTTAGCTGAGGCTGGAATAGGAGTCAGGCCACCGCAGGAAAGAACACACCCCTTGAAAAGGAATGCCCAGTTGGGATCGTCCGGCGGGCTTGAGGCAGTCGACATGTTGAGTGGACACTATCTGCTTCGTGTGTCAAGGTCAGAGCTTAGGGAATAGGAAAAATCGAGGAGACGATGCTGTGTGATGAAAAGAGGGGAAAGGACCGGGATGTGGAAGGAGATTGTTGATGGTTGGGTGGCCTTTATCAGCTAGAGGCCTTAGCGGGAAACTGCCTGCTAGAATCTGATAGTTCCACCATTCACCATGGCGAACTTTCGCCCAGCGAGTTCCACAACATCTAGCTCGACCGTCTTACTTGATAATCTTCCGATTACACAGCCCAGCAACAGTCTAACCCTATACATATTCAGGCAGACCAGTACATATAATCGAGATGAGTAGCACAACTCTGTTGCTGACAACCAAAAGAGTCTGAGGATTCCTCTAACAGACACTTTGACGGCTCTTCGGATGCTGATCATGGAAAGATCAACTGTATACGGTATGCAGCTGAGTAGTGTAGTCTAACCGATGGCCGATGGATCCGATAACCGTGAACCGATAACTGGATACCAATTTGGGATAAGAATGTGCCTTATCGAGAAGGCTGACTCCACTTGTGCCTGACAGCCTGTCCAAACCCCAATCCGGTCTGGACCACCGCAGCCCCGCCCCACGTGATCTCAAATTTCCCTCTTCCCACTTTCCCATCCACCGATCAAACAACTTCCCCCTCCACTCATCCCACGCACCAACAGAACTTCGAACGGAGTCTACACATCCACCCAGACAATGCCACGAATACCTCTCGCCCCGCTCGCCTCCCTCACGCAAACCCGCTATGTCATCCACCTGACCACCGGCAAACGCCTCGTGCTGTTCCGCCTTCCCACCATCGAGCCATCCATCACCTCCCCCACACCCAAGAACGAAGCCAACGGATGGTCCTACTACGCCATGGAAGCGGGGTGTCCGCACGCCGGCGGCCCGATGCAGGACTCGTCGATCGACATCGAAGATTCCGCCTACGTGGCTTCCTGCCCGTGGCACGCGTACGACTTCAACGTGGAGACCGGGGAGTCAAGTGTCGGGATCAAGGCGTGCACGTTCGCCGTGGATGTGCGGGGCGCGGTGGAGTTCGGGGATCAAGTATTGCTGGAATACCCGGAGGATGGGGTGGGATTGGTCAAAATGGAGGCTGTTAGTGAGAAGATCAAGCTGAAGACGGAGGGAACGGGCAAGCGTGATGACGCCAGCAATAAGACAAACGGGAACAACGAGACGGCTGCCTCTCCTCAACAAACCACAGAAAATGACGCTACTCCCTCTGGCCCGGCGGTCTACCTCGACGACAAGGCGACCGTGTGTGACTGGTGCGCGCACATCCTCAACACCTCGAACCCGGAGCACAAGATCGAGCTGACGGCGCACCTGTTCTCCATCTTCACGGCGCGCGAAGGCACAACCGACCAGATGGAGATCGGCGACGGCAGCGGCGTGACCCTCCCGGCGATCCCGCCCCGCGATGGCCTCGTCGACATCAAGCCGGGCCAGATGCCCCGCGCGGGACGCGGCGGCACGCAGAAGAGTCGCATCATGATGCTGCACGCGCTGGCGAACATCGAGCAGTGGGCGATCGATCTGGCGGTGGACATCTGCGTGCGGTTCGCGGCGTTCCGCACGACGGCCACGGAACCGCGTGGTCTGCCGCGCGCGTTCTTCCACGACTGGTTGAAGGTCGCCAACGACGAGGCGAAGCATTTCTCGCTGTTGCGGACGCGGCTGGAGGATATGGGTTCGTACTTTGGAGCGATCCCCGTGCACCATGGGCTATGGGAGTCGGCGACGCTGACGGGGCATGATCTCCGCGCGCGGATCAGCATCATCGCGTTGGTGCATGAGGCGCGGGGGCTGGATGTGAACCCGATGACGATCGACAAGTTCCGCAAGGCAGGCGATGAAGAGAGCGTGCAGTCCCTTGAGATCATCCACAATGACGAGATCACCCATGTGACGACGGGCCATCGGTGGTTGACGTGGATCTGCGGGCAGGAGCAGACGGATCCAGTGCAGGTGTTCCGATCGAATGTGCAGCAATACTGGGTGGGGGCGCTGCGGGAGCCGTTCAACACCGAGGCGCGCATGCAGGCCGGGCTGGACGAGCGGTATTACGGCAATCTCGTGGGATATGGTCGGGCGTGAGCGTGGCAGGTTGACGCCACCGTCACCTATATCATCGAGTCACCCTCATCGAGCGCTCGCTCGAACTCATCTGTCTGCGCCGCAGGCCTTAGCAGACAACGACCCAGCGTCAAGCCCCCATTCCCACCCGCAGGGCCGCCCTCGTGGCAAAAATACCGAGACAAGCAGAAAGCGAAACAGCACTGCAATTTGTCCTGTGCGCCCAAGCACTATTCACAACGAAACCTGTACCACAACCTGCATCTTGTACATAGCATACCCATTAGCGTTAAACGAGTAACCCAACAAGCCAGCAACTTAACCACGAGCACATCCTCCACTCCTCACCTAGCATGCATACCATATGTATGCCACCATCAACGCTGTCCCCACTCATACCCCGACTCCGAATGCGGCAACAACCTGCCTGCCCCAGCAGCAGCAGCAGCAGCAGCAGGATCACGACCATCACCCCCATCACCCTCCCCGGTATCCTCCGCCTCAAAATCCCCAACACTGCCCCCCTCCTCAACCTCCCGATCCAAGATCCGCTGATACTCCTCCCGTCTCCGCCGGATCCCCTCACCACCACCATCACCGTCCCCTTTAAAAACCCAACCCCCCATCCCCCTTACCCGAAGAACCCAAAACGCAATCTACCACAAACAACACATTAGCCCTGCTCACGAATAATCCCGGTCCAAAAACATCCACAACCCCCCACCCCCCAAAAGGAAAAAAAAAGTAGAAGAATACATACCCTCAACCCCCCGACAACCCCCAACCCCACCACCAAAAACCACAGCACCTTGACCTCCTCGCCCCTCCACACCCCCGCACAAGCCCGCGTATACCCCAACTGCAACACACAGGCATCATCCCCGTGACTCCGATCCTTGAACGGCCACGCGCGGTCCCGCACACTGCGCAGCCCACAGCACTGCAATCGATCTTGGATCGTCCGGATGGTCGCCGCGTCGCGGGCGTGGAAATACGTCTGCCAGGTTCGGTCGAGGGTGCAGGTGCTAACCCCTGTGGTGTTGTTTAGGTAGGCGAGGACGAGGGTGAGGAGGATGGTCGTTAGGGCTGTGTGGAGGGTGTTGAGGATCGGGATGATCAGGGTTAGTTTGGGGGAGGCGGTGCGTTTGAGGAGGGTCGTTGCGGTTAGGGTTGCGAGGGTGTAGGGGGTTAGGAGGGTGGTGAGGATTGGGAGGGCTGGGGGGAGGGGGAGGAAGAGGGTCTTTGTGCGGGTCCAGGCGAGGCTTTTTTGTTGTTAGTTGGGTGTTAGTGGGTTTGGTGGGGGTGGGGGACGGACATTGATAGGATGAAGGAGAGGATGAAGAGCTTTGTTTCGCGTGGTTAGTGTTTCTGTTTGAATTAGTTGGGATGGTGGGGCACGTACGAGGGTGACGAGGAGGTGGATGAGGAAGACGGAGTTGGGTCTGAGGAGCATGGTGGTGGTTGTTTCTGATGGACAGGCTGAGGTTGGTGTTGAGGGTGGTTGATGAGGTTGAGGGGGATGGAGGTGATGGAGTGATGGAGGAAGAGGGGAGGATGCGGGGTTGAGTGACACATGCAGTGGAAGTAATTCACCAGCCACAGCTGGGGTGTTACTTGCACCTACCTGTCTTTACATGTACTGCACATTTGGAAGCATTCACTGCTGTGGAAGACCATACCTTATCTTACATAGATTGGTTGGATAGAGTAGAGGGAGAGTGTACTACTATCGGGATAAACGCAGCCAGTATATGATGCAATCAAAAGACATAGAAGACGTAGACATAAATCATGGCCTCATATTCAATCTACCGTTCCATCAATCTAGTAACTCCTCATCCGTCCAATGCTTTTATAGATCCATATTGATACCAACCTCACTCCCATTCAATGCCCCTTGTACTATAACCCCCTCAGTCACCCCCCCCCCCCCCCCCCCCCCCCCCCCACATCCCTACACTCTCCCCCGCAAAAACAACTTCTCCAGGGCAACCCACCTCCCAAACCCCGGAAACTCCCCCACGCCGCCATCCCGCTCCACCACCCCCTTCCGCTCGATCTCGTAGAACCGCCACGCCCGCAACACCGCCAACGCCACCGCGCCCACGGCAAACAGGCCGCCCACATACACCTTCGCGCCCAGGTACCCTCCGCCAGCCAGATCCACCAACCGCAGCGCAATCACCTCCGCCACCGTCGTGGGCGCCACGAGCATGAAGCAGACCAGCCCGAACGTCGCCGGGAGCCGCTTCAATCCAACCACGTCCGTCAGCACGGGGGCGACCGTACCCCAAAAAGTGCCGCAGACGGAGCCGGCCAGGAGGGCGAAGAGGAGCAGCAGCGGGTACGAGGACAGAAAGACCCAGAGGGTGAGGCAGAGCACCGCGCAGACGAGGGTCGTGAGCATCGACACGGTGATGCGGCCGTGTCGGTCGGAGAGGTACCCCATCAACGGCCGGCCGAGGGCGAGACCCAGGTTGAGGCAGGCGCTGGCGATGGAGCCCTGGCTTGGGGTCAGGGCGATGGAGGTCGCGTAGTTCGGGAGCGAGTAGAGGAGGGCGATAAACCCCAGGTCCGTGGAGGTGCCCCAGATGATGATGAGGAGGACCTCGAGGTGGGTGAGTTCTGTGGGGCTGCAGAAGAGAGTGGTTGTGGCGGTGGTGGCTGCGGGGTGAGAGCGATGGCGGCGGGATCGTAGGACAGAGGGCGCGGGATGAGGGCTGGGGCGGTCGCGGAGGAGCAGCGAGCACAGGAGGTTGGCGCCCAGAGCGCACGCGGCGAGGACCCGGTAGGTGCCTTGGATGCCGATGGTCTCGATGCTGCGGCCCGCGATCAGACTGTATGCCAGCCCGCCGAGTCCGGTGCCGGAGGAGGCAAGCCCGGAGGAGAAGCTGCGTTTGCTGCTGAACCACTTGGGCAGGATGGCAGTGGCGGTCAGGTACAGAAAGCCCATCCCGGAGCCAAAGCAGATGCCCTGCGTCAGGAGGAGATGCCAGAACTGGGTGGCATACGAGGCGCTGAAGAGAGCGGCGGAGACGAGCACAGTCCCCAACAGCAGCGTGGGCATTGTGCCAACCGTCTGATGGGTTTGTGTGACCAGAGGACCGATGAGCAGACACTGCCCAATCGAGACGCCGCCGATCAGAGCGAAGCCCAGGTGGCTGGCGTTGGGGAAGGTCGAATGCGACAGGAAGTAGTTCAGAATCACTCCCCATGCGCTGCTGACCCCCCAGGTGTGCACATTGATCATGAACACACAGAAGGTGCACACCCAGGCATACCCTCCGTCGGGAGGGATGTCCTCAAATGAGGTCACGTTGAGGGCATTTTCGGCATTGTTGTCGAAGTCTTGCAGTTCCAGATTGCTTGGAGCAGCAAGTCGTTCCCGACTCGATTCGTTCATCTTGAGTATCCTTTTGAATGTATTGTTTGGATGGGGGAGACTGGGGATGCACCAAAGACGAAGATTGTGTTTGTGCGAGCAGGGCTTTATATGCACATGATGCAACTCACCCCGCAGCCACGATGAGTCAAGTAGACCGCGGTCGAGACACCACACCAACGCAGGCCAGCTCAGTCGCACACAGACCTAACTCGTTCTGATCAGCTGCAGCATAATAATGGTAATTTATGCTGTCTCAAAATTTCCAAGGGAGAAGTAGGATGGCGCCAAGAAAGATGAATGGTGGTAATTATGTACGTCGGCTCACGGCCTTGCTAACTAGCAATAAATTAAATGACAAAACCATTTTGTACACATCACTGAGAAACACTAGACTCGGTCTTTCCATTCTTCTACACAAGAGATTGATTAGCATAATTTGAGATAGCAATTTGAGATAGCGTAGGCACGAGACTCACCAGCTTGCGGCTGTAAGAAACACCAAGGTTGCTGTTGCTCCGCGAATCGTAGGGGAAAGGAGCAGTGTAGTTGAAGGTAGCGGTCAGTCCCTTCCAGGTCTTCTTGACTTGAGACAAGATACCATGGCCGGCCGAGCAAGTCCCCGTGGTGAGAGGAACAGGCCATCCGGCAGTGTAGGTGCTGTAGTCGTCATCGGAGAGCGGACCGGGGTGGGTTTCGTTCATGTAGAGGTTGGTGGTGTCAACTTCATAGTTGACATAGCCGGTCTTCTCAGCCACCCACTTGAAGAGGTTGGCACCACAGTCCCAGCGACCCAGAGACGGGAGACCCCAGTTGGCGGACATGGAGGCAATGACGGAATAGTGGGTATAGAAGGTATCATCGGTGGTACCACGGAGGTTCTCCGGGACGGCACCACCCAGCAAGAAGGTATAGACATTGTTGCCAATCTCGTAGGTGCTGGTCTCGTCGAAGGTCAGCATAACGAGAGTATCCTTGGTGAAGTACTCGTTCTCGAGAAGCTTAGTCAGAAAGTCGTAGGTCCAGGCCCCGGAGGTCTCGATGTTTGAATCGTGGCCGTCATTGGTCATGTTGGGGGTGATGAACATGTACTGAGGGAGACGCTCGTGCTCCAAATCCTCGTAGAAGGTAGTGAAGTTCTTGATCTGTCGTAGACGAAGGGAATCTTCCGTCACGGAATCAAACAAGATCAGAGGGTTGTGCTTCCGCACGTACACGTTGGCACCGCTCTCCGGGTAGCGGTACCCCTGGTAACCAGGGTAGGGCAGAGCCTCCTGGTACTCTCCCCACGCGATGTTCTTGGTATCAAACAAGTCCGCGATGGTGGACACGTTGCTAGGGATTTGGTGGAAGTCATCGTTGTCCATGCCAAAGGTGTCACCGGCGGCCGAGGCACAGTAGTTAGGCTCCGAGGGGTGGGTAATGGCCCAGAAGTTGCTGAGCAAAAGACCCTTCTTGGCCAACTCGGCCAGGTGAGTGTTCCCAGCGGCAGTATCGTAGTCCTAATCTGATCAGTATGGTCCATCGACTTGTATACATAACCAGAAATCGACTTACGGTGTTCTCCAACCAAATGTTCACGAAGCGGTTGAATGAGAGACCCTTGACGTTGGACACTGGTGAGTATGGCTGGACCGAGGCCTTGGCTGCGGCAATCTCCGCGGCGGAAGGGTATTCCTCCGTGGTGGTCTGCGCGAGAGCAAGCGACAGTCCTCCAAGGAGGGTCAAGACGGATTGCTTGGTGAACATGATGCCCGATGGATGAAACGGAGGCCAGGTGAGTGATTAGAACCGGATGGCTTGCGGGTTGGAGGCACAAAGAAGGAAAGAGGACATGAGAGCATTGCGATTCTGGAGCGCCTTTATATATGTTTCCTTTTCTCAGATTTGCGATGTCTTGCGATGTCGGACGAGGTGGTTGACAGCCTGGAGCCCATGGGGGGGCATGTGTCTACATCTCCGCTGCCGATAGGAAGCTTCGTGAACCGTGTAATTGCCGTCAAGCGATTGGCCATGTACATTTAAGCGATGGCATCTAGCCCCTCCTGCATGCACTTGATTGCGCAGCGAGATATCTAATCTCCGACGGGGGAGCTGGAGAAAGCCGGTTATGCGTGGATGTTGAGAATGACTGGCAGTTCTGCAGGGGAAAAGTAGATGGATGGACGATGGAGGAATCATGCACGTTGCGATTCACTCGGCGCTGACTGGCCAGCGGGACAGCGGGAAGCAAAGTGGGTGGAAAGTGGGCCTGAGGCCAGGCGACGGGCACGTGCCCCAACCAGCGGCAGCGACGCGGTCGGCAAGACTGCTACAGCATACCTTAAAACCTGGGGGGACAATGAGAAGGGGAATGGGGAAAAGAAAAAGATAAACAAGATAGAAAAGGTAGAAAAGGTGGAGCAAAAAAAAACTTCAAAATCGACAAAATCACGCGGCGTAGAACAAATACAGAAATGCATCAACCATGCTATCATTGCTACTCATTATTTGCAAAGCGACTGGAAATCTATCATCTATAATATATCATGACTAGCGATGAAAGACCCCCTCCCTCTATCACATCAAATCGTCTAAGCAAAGAACTTGGCCTCTCCCTCCTTGAGCTTGCCAGCGCCGACCAGTCTCTGCACCTCCTCGGTGTACACAGTCTTGACGGCAGCCGCGTCCTTGCCAGCAGCAGTAAGGCGACCAGCCAGACCAGCCAGCTCCTCCGCATCGATCTTGCTGAGGATAAGATCGACGTCTCCCAAGACGGAGTCGACCTGGGCGGCCGAAGGAGCCTCATCGAAGTAGTTGACATCCTTGACGGATCCCTTGACAACACGCTTGTTCTTCTTGGTGGCGTTCTTAGCGGCCTCCTTGGCCTTCTTGTTGGCCTCACGCTCGGCCTTGGCGGCCTCCTCGGCATCCTTCTTGCGCTGCTCCTCCTCCAGGCGAGCCTTCTCCTTCTCCTCGACGAGACGCTTGGCCTCGGCCTCTCTCTCGAGACGCTTCTTGTCCTTGTCGGCACGGGCGGCCTTGCGGAACTTCTTGATTCTCTCGTCACCGGCGGCGCAATCGTCGACCAGGTGGCGGAGACGGGCCGTGTCCTCGGTCTTGCGCTTGCGGCGGGCGTTGGCGTTCTTCTTCTCGACGTGACGCTTCTGGTCACGGCTCTCGTTGTCATCGGGGACATCCTCGTCCAGGTACTCGAAGGTACGCCAGCTGTCGAAGTTGTACCAGAAGTTGTAGAACTCCTCGACGACCTCCTGGCTGCTGTTCTCGTCACCGAGCTCGGGGACGGGCTGGATGTTGGAGAAGCGGCCCTCGGAGATGAAGACCTTGCGCCAGAGCTTGTAGAAGTTCTTGGAAGCCTCCTTCTTGGTGGGGGGCTCGACGTCGGCGGCCTCGTCGACGGAGTCGAACTGGCGGCGCTTGACGGGGTCGGAGAGCACCTCGTGGGCCTTCTGGATACACTTGAAAAACTGGTCGTTCTCGTCACGGTCGCCCAGAGCGGCCTTCTTGTCGGGGTGGTGGCGAAGGACCTTCTTGCGGTGAGCACGCTTGATCTGCTCGGGGGTGGCGCGCCAGCGGTACTTGGTCAGGCCGAGAACCTGGTAGTGATCTTGGCTCTGCAAGGGATTAGCATCGAACAGTAGCAGTATTTTGGTTACTGGTAAATCGTACCTTCCAGTCCTTAGCCTCTCTGGCGAGGAGCATGTTGTCCTCGGGCTCGGAGATCTCGCCAAGGTCGTCCTCCTCGGTCTTCTTGACATTCTGCTGGGCCTGGATTCTCTCATCCTCGGAGAAGGTACGTCCGTGACGCTTCTGTGGGAACTGTAAGCATCTTACCCAGAAGTCAACTTCAAGCAGGATGGAAAAATGAGACATACTCTGCGGGCGTGGGCCAGGAAGAAGGGACCGACGGCCTCGAGGTTTCTCTGGGTGGCGCCAGAGAGAGTGCCAACGGCCTTGAAGTCCTTCTCGGCGCTCCAGCCGGAAGGCAGGGCGGGGAGAGCAAGGTTAAAAGTCTGAGTGGAAGTCATGATGGACTTTTGAGATGCCTCGATGAAGATGGGAAGAGACAATGGAAGACCCCAACAAGAACGTTGTGTGAGCGGGAGAAAACTTGGAAGGCGTCAAGGCTAACTTAGAACTTTCTCCCCCTCTGCTTTTTTATTTTTTCTGCCCCGACTTGCCGCTTGGCCCGGAGCCAATCACGGGTGACTTGTTTCGGAGGTTCTTCGAAAGCCTCGATTCCGCTGCGAAGATCACTTGCTTGTCAACAGAATACCTACTTGTTTCTCTCAACTACGATCGGTCTGCTTTACGGTCTTGTCTTTCATTATCCTTCTAGCGGATAAGTAGAGGGTCTACTACAACTCAACCGCTCTCAGAACCACTCCCGCCGCTCGCTCTTCGCAGCCACCGATCCGCAAACCGTCATCTGGAGACTCATACTCGAGTACAAGCCCAGACCATTCACTCCCGACGCACGCAACACACAAGCCACTCATCGTCTTCCACAAAACTCACACATTTCGATATGGCTTCTCAAGGCGTCGTCTCCGCACGCAGTGCCTACCGACAACTTCTCCGCGCGACCCGCGTGGCCTTCCACAGTCCGTCCACCCGATCTCTTCCCTCAACCGCCTCTCCAAGAACACCGCTGACTTCTACTCCTTCCCCACAGACGACCTCCGCGTCATGGTCGCAGCGCGTCAAGAAGCGCGCCGCAACTTCGACAACCACCCTCGCCAGGGCATCGACACCCCCATGCAGATCAACCACGCCATCGAGGTGGCCAACATCCTGCGGCACAACATCGTGCAGGGCGTGCGCGACGACGGCGACGAGAATGCCAAGTGGGGTGCGCTTTTTGCCTCCGGTCCGACCCTTTTCCAGAACAAGACGATGCTAACAACGATCATAGAACTCCGGATCCACGACGAGATCGAGCGCGGCGACAACGATTCCATCAAGATCGCCGGGAAGAAGGTCAAGGTGGACAAGCCCTGCTCTGCTTGATCAGGACGATTCCATTGTACAGGGACAGACTACAGTCTAAACGGGCGGGGGGTGCGGTGGTTGACTGCAAAGATATGCATTGCGGATTGTATTATAGTATACCCGAAGTTTCCTTTTGTTTTCTCTCTTCTCTCCTTTCTGGCGTCTCTTTGGGGTATTTCATGGTTTGTAGAACTACTAGGTAGACAAATGCATGCACAAAATAGAAACAAATCAAAGGAAAGCCAAAACGCCCGCTCTCAAACATGCATCATATGAAGCTCCCTCCGTCCTTGAGAAAATCAGTGTCAACAAAAGAGTTTAATCGCCGTTCAAACTGGAGTACTGGATTTCGCCAGCACCCGGGGGTGGTGCCACCGCATAGTTCTGGGGTCTTTGTTCCTTAGCCAGGTCCTGTCCGGCCGCCGTGATGGCTCGCTTGCCGCCATCGCCGGAGGGGCGCGTGCCCACGGCTTGTCGACCCTCGCGGGCGTTCTTCATCCGCTCCTCCCGGTCCATGTTGTCCAGCGGCTTGGGCTTGCCCCACCTGACGCGCAGGGGACAACCCTGGAGGACGGCCTTGCCCTGGCAGTGCTTCGCGGCCGCCTCGGCGCCCTCGCGAGTGGCGAAGTTGATGAACGCCGAGTGGGCGCGGTGGGAGCAGATCAAGGAGCGGAGCGAGCCGAACTGGGTGAAGAAGGTGCGCAGTTCGTGCTCGGGCAGGTCGTCCTCGACGCCCGTCACGAACAACGAGGTGATGTTGGGGTCGGCGGGCGGGTTGATGTCGTCGGCGGAGGGCGGCACCTGCGCCGCACTGGGGAAGGGACGCCCGCCGCGTCCCCCGCGCATTCCTCCTCCCGCTCCGCGTCCGCCCCGGCCGGGCAGCGGTGTTCCCCTCCGGCTCTCGCTGGTGCGAATCGGACCCGGCCCGTTACCGTACCGACTGTGGACGACGGGCGCCTCGCTGGACCCTGTGGCGGGACCCTCCCCGTCTTCGGGGGTCGCCTCGATCCGGCGCTGTTTGCGGTAGTAGGGCTCGCTGTTGGCGAGTCTGCGGAGCAGCTCGCGCGCTTTCTCGTCGGTCTTCTCGTACTCCTCGACCGCGCCGCGGCCTTCCTCGATCTCCTTCTCGTGGCCCTGAGCGTAGTATTCGCGGTTGATGGTGCTTTCCGGGCCCGGGGCGACCATCTTCAGGGCGGCATCACGGACGACGATGGGCAAGCCGAAGGACAGATCCAGCATGCAGCACTGGCAGCAGTTCTTGAGGCGGGCGCAGGTGAGGCAGATGGTGGTGCGCTTGGTGCGGGCAGTGCGGTCGGCCTTCCAGCGGAAGATGGTGAACGGACGCGTACACTGTGACAGTGTTAGTATCGGTGGCTAGATTGGGTGCGCAGAGCGACGGGAGGGCTCCCTACAAGTTTGCATTCTGCGCCATAGTCCTCTTTCAGCATCTGAACGTAAGGATTGTCCGGGAGACAGCTCTCACAGACTGACGGGAAGTCGGTGGTTTCCCATCCGGATCGGTTGAGATCCTGCTTGATCTGGGCAGGAGGCATGGTGGTGAGGTAGTTTGAAGCTCTCTGTGTGACTTCAGCGGCGAAGCTCAGAGGTGAACTGGAGGAGTTGACAGCGGCAGCAAGAACTTGGATTATCGATAGTCATCGTGGCTGAATGTGGCTAGTGGAGAGCGTTGTGGCGAATGCATGACATAAGCACCCGCAGCTAGTTTTCACGTGACTGCATGGGATCTATGTGGCTGATGGGCTATGGAGGGCATTGTCAATCACGAAATTCGTTTAATGCTGAGGAGGCAGGCTACGTACTCTGGTGATACAGGGGTTGTGTAGAGATGAATTTAGCACGTGAGATTCAAACAGCATTGCATCCTCGTCCGCACCCCTGCCAGCCCCAAGATGCATTGGAATTGATGATGCCTGCCACCTGCCACTGGAATCCGCGCAGATACGCGAATACGCAATACGCAATACGCAGAGCAAGCAACCAGGAACGAGAGTTGGCGGGCGAAGATCAAGGCTTGGAGGCGCGGAAGATGCCTGGGACTAAGCCATATGGAGAAAGGCGTGGTTCCATCGTCCCGTTCGGCCACACTTTTTTCCCGGCCACCAGGACCCCGGAAGGCCCGATCAGGTCTAGTGCTGCGTCGAATTGAGTCTCTGGTTGGCTGGCCAGCGCTGCAAAAGTGATTGGCTGGGGAAATGTCAAAGTCGATTCGATGCCCGTCGGTCGTCGGTCGTCGGTCGCAATTCCGCCTCCCCTTTCTTTCCCCGTTCTTCGTGTTTGCGTGTTCCCTCAGACATTACCTTGCGGTGGCCCTTCCCTTCCATCTCGCTTCGTTTCATTCCACTTCACCTCCTCTTCTCCCCCTCTTCCTGCCTTTCTTTGCTGCCTGTTCGGCTTCAATTCTTTTCCCATTCAATTCCCTTCCATTCAACTGGGTCGTGGATATATAATTGCCTTCCCTTCTCTTCTTTTTCTCCCTTTCTTCTTTCGCACAACCCACTTTTCTTCAACCCGGCTTTACCCCCTTTTAATCCTTTTAATCCCCACTACCACTTTCAATTCTCAAAATGGCTCCCACAGCTTTGGAACAGGAGAACCATGTGCGCGATGCTGAGTTCAACCGTGTCCTGCACGGAAAGTCCGCTCAGTCCCAGGGTGGTATTGCTGCCATGCGTGGCAAGGACGCCGCTGCCCAGAAGGCCGCCATCGACGAGTACTTCAAGCACTGGGACAACAAGAGCGCTGAGGACGAGACCGAGGAGATTCGCGCGGTAAGCACTGTGCAACCGGCGCCCGTTGCTGCTGGGCCAAGCTAATCAATTGCAAACCCCTAGGCCCGCCGAGCGGAGTATGCGACCTTGACCCGACAGTATGTCTTCCATCGCCGCTATGGCCTCAATTGCCCATCTAACTTTGTTCTTCCAGCTACTACAACCTAGCCACCGACTTCTATGAATATGGCTGGGGTACTTCCTTCCACTTCTGCCGCTTCGCTCCTGGCGAGCCCTTCCGCCAAGCCATCGCGCGTCACGAACACTACCTGGCCCACACGATGGGCATCAAGGCCAACATGAAGGTTCTCGATGTTGGCTGCGGTGTCGGCGGCCCTGCCCGCGAGATTGTCAAGTTCTCCGACGCCAACGTCACCGGCCTGAACAACAACGACTACCAGATCGAGCGCGCGACCCGCTACGCCGAGCGGGAGGGATTGAGCCACAAGCTCAACTTCGTCAAGGGCGACTTCATGCAGATGAAGTTCGAGGACAACACCTTCGACGCCGTCTACGCCATCGAGGCCACCTGCCACGCCCCCGAGCTGGTGGGTGTCTACAAGGAGATCTTCCGCGTGCTCAAGCCCGGCGGTGTCTTCGGTGTGTACGAATGGTTGATGACTGACGAATACGACAACGACAACGCCGAGCACCGCAAGATCCGTCTGGGTATTGAGCAGGGTGACGGTATCTCCAACATGGTCAAGGTGTCGGAGGGTCTCCAGGCCGTCAAGGACGCTGGCTTCGAGCTCCTCCACAACGAGGACTTGGCCGACCGCCCCGACGCTATCCCCTGGTACTATCCCCTGGCCGGGTCCTTCAAGCACATGGGTACCATCTGGGACTTCTTCACCATTGCGCGCATGACCTGGTGGGGCCGTGGCATCGCCCACCGCTTCGTTGGCGCCTTGGAGAAGATCGGATTCGCCCCCGCGGGCTCTCAGAAGACCGCCGACAGTCTGGCTCTGGCCGGTGACTGTCTGGTGGCCGGTGGTGAGAAGAAGCTGTTCACGCCGATGTACCTGATGGTTGCTCGCAAGCCCGAGTAGACGGATTGGTTACTATGATATCACGCCTGTACAAAATTGCGTTTCTTTGCGACAGCATCCCACACGAGCATGCATAGAGGGTGATGGCGGTCTATGTTCTTTAATATCCCCGGTTTTGTTTCTTGTGTTTCCTTCTCTACATGTTATATTATTGCATACCGCCGTGGGATGTCTGTCTTTATGAGCTGTCCGGTTGGGGGCAGTGGGTATCATTGCTGAGTATGTGCTCATGGATGATGATTTAGGTTATAGTTAATATCAAGACACGACATATGCTTGTAGCTGCAGTTCTTCGTATCATTCCTGCCGGTGTCTGCTCTGGGGTAGAACACCTGACGACCTCTGTCCTTCTCTTTCTCATCCAAACATTCCACATATTGAAGACTTGATCGGTCCTACAACGAATCCACCTCAACGCAACATATATCAACTCAACCCCTCCAAACCAAACGTCAGCACCACGACCTCCCTCCCCCCCTCCCCATCGACCCTCAACCCAAAGACCGACAAAACCCCCACCTCCAGCAACGCCCGCTCATCCACCACCGGCTCCCCCGTGAACCCATTCCCCCTCCACACAACCTCCAGCCCCTCCTCCCGCCCCCACCGCGCCAGCACCCACTCCTCCCTCTCATTCTCCGGCAAGATAAACCATACCCGGGAACGCCAGCAAACCACCTTGCCCCTCAACCCCGTCTCCGTCGGCCACACGCCCTCCAACGCCCAACTCTCCCACCCCTTCCCATCCGGCCCACAAACATAATACACCCACTCCTCCCGCCCCGCCCGCGTATTCTCCCGATTCAACACATGCAGGGTCCCGTCTGCGTCGACAAACTGGCCCTCCTGATTCATAATCCCACTCCCGCGGGGGATCCGCCTCACCCGGAGCCGGGGGTCCTGGGAGTTTAGAGGCGTTATCGCTTCCTCTTCCGCTTCATCCGGAGGATTCGCGCCGAATGCACCGGTCGCAAGGACCTCGTGCGCGGTACGGCTACCGCGCCATCGTACGCTTACGCCCACCTTTCGGTCTGCGTGCGAGGGGTCGGGGTCCACCTCGGCGAAAGCATGGTACAGCCCCTCGTTGTTCTCGGGCCCGTTCGGCCCCGCCTGCGCTTTGTGCGCCGTGGAGGTCGGGTCCTCTGCTCCTTCGTAGGGTACGAAGTGGCGGTTCGTCCAGGTGATGTGGAGTTTGTTGGTGGGGGCGTGGAAGGAGAGGCCGTTGGGGTAGGGGTTGCAGGCTTGGCCGTGGAGGTAGAGGGCTTGGGGCGTGGGGTGGGGTGTGTATTTTCCTGTTGCTGTTGCTGGATTTGGGGGCGTAGTTGTGGGT